GAATTTTATAAAAAAAACTTTTTTCCAAATTTGTTTAAACTTTCTGTATATATCAATGCATAATTAAAATGTAAGTACTCTGATAAAAAGAGTATAAAAATCGAGTGACTCTAGACCGTTTAATCTGCACTAAACACAGCTCATTATTTCCATCCGGGACGAAACAAAGGATTGGCTTAGGCGACTGTCACTCTCTCGCAACCATGGCAACCACCCTTTTGCCACACAGGACCTGCCCACTTGCGCGTATCTGTTTGATTTGAGGGAGAAAGACCAATCAAAATTCACATATGCAGTTCGCGAAGGCAAACCAGGCAAAAAAAGGAAGACAGTAACGTTACTAGAAAAGGTAATGAACAAAAAGTCTTTGGATAAACAAGGAAATAAAACGCGTGTCAATATCGGCGTGGCTTTCCAGCGATGGCGAGAACTGAGAGACCTCAAGGGGCTGAAAAGTGACGCCTTGTGACGACCTCCTCTGCTTCGCCCTCGACCCCGGATCTGTCCTCGAGCTGACGATGTGGTACTTGTCTCTGGAGTGTAGTCCTCATCAGAGTCAACAATGCTTTAATCATGGGAACTCTTACATGCAGAACACCATATACGTTATGAATGTTACACGAAATTCATCTTCATCACAGTGTAAATGATGGCAATGGAAAAACGTGTATCATGCAACCTGTTTTTAGCTTATAGATAACTAGCTCGTTAGCGAATCAATAAATATATATTTTAAACTTTACCAATATCAATATGCTAGCTTGATAGTGAGTACTAAAATACATCTTATTTGTTTATCTTCATAATGATAAAGTTAGATTTTTTTATTACATGTGATTCTGACATGATGTCACTACATGCACTGCGCGCCTTCCTCTCCGCTCGTCTCAGGTAAATAATGCGTCTTCAGCTCAGCGGTCGGAGTCGCGCGTTCATGTATTTTTGGGGCGTGGCTTTGGAAGGAGCCCAGAAGGGAGGGGGTGGAGTGAATGGAAATAATGAGCTGTCATTAAAACAGTCGTGAGAGGTCTACAGACACTCGATTTTTATACTTTCTTTTTCAGAGTACTTACATTTTAATTATGCATTGATATATACAGAAAGTTTAAACAAATTTGGAAAAGTTTTTTTTTTATAAAATTCCTACCTACAATACCTTTAACAGTGATAACCCTGATTTAAATCAATGCATGTAAATGGCCTCTTGCTGTGTCTTAACCACAGGACCTTGCAGGTAAAGAGCAGGAGAAAGTGTCAGAAGTGACGCGAGTGCGCGTGGAGCTTCAGGAGCAGATCGGTCACCTGCAGGCTGAGAGAACCACACAGAGCGGCCTGAAGGAGAAGATCTCTGCTCTGGAGAGAGAGATGAAGGGTAAACGCAGATTACGCCTCTTTAAGCTTTATAATAGTTTTAGTGCTGGGCAACGATTAATCGCATCCAAAATAAAAGTGTGTGTAATGTGTATTATTATTTTGTATATAAATACACACATATGTATGTATATATTTAAGAAATATTTGCATGTGCGTATATATACATTTAGACATAATTTATATTATACACTCACCTAAAGGATTATTAGGAACACCTGTTCAATTTCTCATTAATGCAATTATCTAATCAACCAATAACATGGCAGTTGCTTCAATGCATTTAGGGGTGTGGTCCTGGTCAAGACAATCTCCTGAACTCCAAACTGAATGTCAGAATGGGAAAGAAAGGTGATTTAAGCAATTTTGAGCGTGGCATGGTTGTTGGTGCCAGACGGGCCGGTCTGAGTATTTCACAATCTGCTCAGTTACTGGGATTTTCACGCACAACCATCTCTAGCGTTTACAAAGAATGGTGTGAAAAGGGAAAAACATCCAGTATGCGGCAGTCCTGTGGGTGAAAATGCCTTGTTGATGCTAGAGGTCAGAGGAGAATGGGCCGACTGATTCAAGCTGATAGAAGGGCAACAGTGACTGAAATAACCACTCGTTACAACCGAGGTATGCAGCAAAGCATTTGTGAAGCCACAACACGCACAACCTGTTGTGGCGGATGGGCTACAACAGCAGAAGACCCCACCGGGTACCACTCATCTCCACTACAAATAGGAAAAAGAGGCGACAATTTGCATGAGCTCACCAAAATTGGACAGTTGAAGACTGGAAAAATGTTGCCTGGTCTGATGAGTCTCGATTTCTGTTGAGACATTCAGATGTTAGAGTCAGAATTTGGCATAAACAGAATGAGAACATGGATCCATCATGCCTTGTTACCACTGTGCAGGCTGGTGGTGGTGGTGTAATGGTGTGGGGGATGTTTTCTTGGCACACTTTAGGCCCCTTAGTGCCAATTGGGTATCGTTTAAATGCCACGGCCTACCTGAGCATTGTTTCTGACCATGTCCATCCCTTTATGGCCACCATGTCCCCATCCTCTGATGGCTACTTCCAGCAGGATAATGCACCATGTCACAAAGCTCGAATCATTTCAAATTGGTTTCTTGAACATGACAATGAGTTCACTGTACTAAAATGGCCCCCACAGTCACCAGATCTCAACCCAATAGAGCATCTTTGGGATGTGGTGGAACGGGAGCTTCGTGCCCTGGATGTGCATCCCACAAATCTCCATCAACTGCAAGATGCTATCCTATCAATATGGGCCAACATTTCTAAAGAATGCTTTCAGCACCTTGTTGAATCAATGCCACGTAGAATTAAGGCAGTTCTGAAGGAGAAAGGGGGTCAAACACAGTATTAGTATGGTGTTCCTAATAATCTTATAGGTGAGTATATATATATATATATATATATATATATATATATATATTATATATAAATAACACATTTTTCTTAAATATATACATGCATATGTGTGTATTTATATATACAAAACAATTCTACACAATTGTGGTAGATTTATCCCTTCTTTCGCACCTGACTTAAATTTACCTGGGGCGTCTCCAATCGACACTTAATAATCTTTATACTCTAGCACTGCGTCTACAGTCGACAACTGCCTTCGAGTCGGACGACGTCTCGTCCCTTTTCCTATAACACTATCAAAGTGTCTAGTAAGCTTCACTAACTAGCTTGCTGCGCTGCATTAACTAGACAGACTGCTTTAATCACGACTGGAGAATCTCAGACAAATATCAGAGAGAATCCCACCAGCAAAAGAATACAACAGTTTTTATAGAATAAGAGCATGGCAAAAAGTGACATGATACATAATTTCCCTACAATTTGATTGGTTCTTCATACGCAAACCCTTCTGTTACTAGGTCAAAGCTAATTCTGTTTTCTTGATTGCTTCACTTTTAGACATCCGTCTATTTTCATTTCCCCTTTTGTTATATTCTGACATGATTCACTAACACACACACACACACACACTCTGATTGAGGGTTTTTTGACCAAAGGGTTTGGAAACATTTAGAATTCAGAAGCATATGGATGTTATTCCTGCAAGAAAAATAAATGTTAGTTATGATTAATAAAAAAATCCATCACACAGTACACACACACATATTATGTAAACGCAAACTTTTATTTTGGATGCGATTTAATCGTTGCCCGGCCAGCACTAAATAGTTTATAAAAGTGTCTTGCAATACCTGGATTGTTTATGTAACTAATTTTACATAGTGAAGGCTAACTGCAAGACTTGTTTTTGTTCTGTCTATGTGTGTAAGCTGATGCCTGTTGCAGGCTCATTGACACTGTGTTTGTGTATTGGATCAGTTCTCAGCACCGCCCACAGAGAGGCCCTTCTGGACAAAGAGAGCGAGATCTCCTCTCTGCTGGAGCGGCTGCGCATTAGAGAAGGAGAGATCCAGCGCATTCGTGAGGACGAGGCGCAGAGAGCCAGCTTCCTCCAGAACGCCATTCTCACTTACGTCCAGGGCTCGCCTCTTGCACACTACAGCCCCAAAAAGTGAACTCGCATGCCAAGACCTCTGTGATTTTCCCACAGCTCTGTGTGCAGTCTTTCCGTCAGTTCCACCAGAGTGCTTTTCAACTATGCATGATAAATCGACTGCATACTGCAAGTGTTCACGATGCTTTTAAATATTTGAGTGGCACGTTTTCATGAATTGGAACAAGAATGGTATGAAAATGTCTTACAAAACAAAATATTAGTATGCATTCTTGTCCCTTTAAATGTATTCATTTAGTTGGGGTGAGGGGTATTCAATTAGTAAATAATTAGAGAACTCGTTTTCTCAATTTTTCTATTTAGAAAATTTCAACAGTTTTTATAAATATTTACTATTTTTATTTTAGAGCTCTTTCACACATTTTAAAAATCCCCAATGTGCCATATTGTCCATCAAAGCTCTTATGCTGTGGCACTTACAAATTGTATATTTTAAAATGTTTTCTACTTTTGAAGTTCTTTCGCTTTTGTAATGTCTGCTGGTTATTAAATAAAATGTGTGTTTTTGATGAAGCTGTTTGAACAATAGTGGAATAATGCTCATTCTTAATATTTCTGCAGTGTTAGGTTCTTATCAAAATATACTGGTACTGTACTAAGAAATATTTCCATTTTATTGAGCAATAATTTCCATTTGAATGTGTTAAACATAACACAAACTGAAAATGAAAAAAATGCATGCATTATTTCGGGTGTAATAATAACTGGACGCCTCTCATGCATAAGTGTGATAAGGTCATGTGACAAACATCTAGCACACCGCTGTTTAAAATATTTACCGTGGTATAACATCAACTTTTACAGCTGCTATAAAAGTAGAGCATAGCTTTAGCATTAGCAACTGCAATGTGTTTGATTCACAGGCAATGCATGTACTGATCAAATCTATGTGATATAAGTCGCTTTGGATAAAAGTGTCTGCCAAATGCATAAATGAAAAAGAAAAAAAGTAGTAGGCATTAAATAGTACATAGTGCGTATTATTTAGTAACTAGTATTCCATCCAGCACGGAGGCAATGACTCAACTCTGTGTGTGCTCCTGTCCCTTTAAATCTCTTCGGCTTTTCCCGGAGAGTCTCGGTGAGGTTCGCTGTCAGAACCGCTGCTGCAAAGAGGGCAGTGACCGTATTTTTGCAGATATCTATCATTTCTCGGGTTAAGTGGGAGCTGTGTCATAATAAAACACATTTACGCCTGTGAAGTGAAGCAACCTGCCTCTCCACAAATGCAAGCTATTAAATGCGTGGTGGTCGGCGACGGGTAAGTAGTGTTTTTGGGAGCTGATAGAGAGGAGCATCCTTGGAAAACCCGTGTGGGTTATTGAAATGCATTGATGCCTAGTTCTGGCCTGTGCATTTTATCGTTTTCTTAACGAAATACCGTCTATTTGATCATAAGCATGTTCATGTTGTATGCAAAATGCATGTAAAAAAACTAAAATATTAATCTGTAAAACTATCAAAATGGGCGCACCGTAAAAAAAATATTGTTTTATGTCTTCGTGTATTATTTTGAATCACTGATGCACGTGCGGCTTTCAGTATGCGTTGTTTATTAGACATAAAATGAACAGGTTTTGAACGGTAATATGTCGTTTTTGTTCACTGTAGTCAGAGAATGAGTGTATTTAGCAGGGTGTTGTACTACTGACCCATGTTGAATGGCAAAAGCCTGAAGCAAGAACCGCTATGGTTACCACTCCCTCACGAGTGTGCACGAGAAGTGTGTGGCGCGCGTCCATGTGAGCGAGTTTCCCTGCTATGGGAAGTCCGACTCGTTCAAAGAATCGGTTCTTTTGAAGAATCGGTTCAAGAATATGATTCGCTATTATTTTACAGGCACACACGTTGCTCGTGTGTACTTTACAGTCATTTAGTCTTTTTTGCTTTGTTATTCATAATTGATGCTAATTCATATTCTAAATGAGTAAAAGGCGTTTTTTTTCAATGCGCATTTACATTTGTAGAAAAAGTTTCCATATAATGAGAATTCATAATTTATTATATTTTATTTTAAAATCAACATATTAATTTATTTATTTTTTGAGTTTCATTAAAATGTTTGTATTATTTTTAACCTTTTTTTTTTAATCGGACGTGTCTAAAAAAACACGGTCAGCGAATCATTCGAGTGGTGACTCTTGAAACGCTTCGTGAACGAGTCCTTCATCCGACTCAGAAGAACGATTCTTTCTCTGTCGGTGTGTTTCATTGGAGTGTGTGTGTGGTTTCCCTCAGGCGAGTGTGAAACTGGGACAGGGTCTGTCACTATCTGACATACAAACACCCACATAAAGAGCACACAAGCAGCAGTAACTACTTTTGCGTGATGCAACCTTATTTATAATATAATGTTATGACCTTTTCACCATTACTTCCTCTCCATCTATGAGCTTTCTTTGAATGCACCTCAGAAATCCCTAGTTTAGCTGTCTCTTGTGCTTTCCCCAGGGCGGTGGGTAAGACCTGTCTGCTCATCAGCTACACCACAAATGCCTTCCCCGGCGAGTACATCCCGACAGTGTGAGTATATAGTGTGCATATGCTGGAATTTGGTGTGGAAATCATTTAGATGATATATATATATATTTGATACATCAGGCTTTTATAGCTCATAGAGTATGATACAGTGGAAAATTGAAGCAGATACTTACATAAAATGCATATAAATATCAGTTGTCACTATCTGCCAATAATGTCTTAGAAAGATGATATTTAAATGCTTCGTTTTATGATCAAAGCTCTGTAGTTTTAAAACATATAATGCAATACAATGATGATTGAGAGATATAAATACAAATAAACCTTTATAAATCATATTTGATACTCACATTGTAACACGATATTTAAAAAGAAATAAATGATGTACAGATAATTAAGTAAACCTAAGTTGCTTCAGTCCATTAATTGTTGATCCTGAAATATTATTAACAATATAAAAGTTTATTCTTACGTTTACTTTGTAAAATTAAGTAAAGATTTCACAGAAAAAAGACTTACAATACATTTACAATTATTCTAAAAGGCCTTTTTTTTTGCTAAAAAAGTCTAAACTATCAATCAGGCGACAGAAGGACTATTAGATTGTGTGCAGAAGATTTGATCATGTTGAAACTATGATACATTAAGGTTAAAATGACAATTATATTTCAATTAATCATACAAGTATTTAACACAAATGGACAATTGGTTTATTTATAAACCTTCATAAAGGCTGAATAACTTCCAACGTTTCTTGTATTTTTTTTTTGCTAACCAATTATGTCCTTAGTGTGGAAGATGTTTTGTATAAGTTGTTTATATTTTTTCTACAATAATAACTTTGTTGTGGCTGACCACTCGCTCATATGGGATGATTTATTCGTCCTCGCTGGGTGATCTGTGGACATGAAGAGCGTGTGACAGACAGCATTGATTTGCATTTCAATACGACAATTAGTTGACCATTGTAAAGATCTAATGAACTGTATCCTGATGCTTCACAGGGAGGTATTCCAGAAATGTGAGCCGATCCACTCAATGACAATTTGGAATGTATTTCTGAGTTATTGCTTTATTGTTCATTAAGATGAATGAGCATTCAGGGATGGTTGATGGCTGCGGTGGCAACAACTAATTCCAATGGCATTTGTCTCATTCTGAATGTTTTGCTATGTCTTATTGAGCATTGAGTCTATGTGCATTTTTTAGGTTTGACAACTACTCTGCCAATGTGATGGTCGATGGCAAACCAGTGAACCTTGGCTTATGGGATACAGCAGGACAGGAAGACTATGACCGCCTCCGTCCCCTCTCGTACCCGCAGACGGTGCGTGACATCAGATTCTTTTTTTAATACTTTATTATTAGAGTTCAGACCAACTGCAATAAGACAGTTGGAGACGATTTTAAGCAAAATGGTGGAAAACCCAAAAATACAATCACTTGCAATGTGACATAATTGCTTATTACTTTTGACCAATAGGTGGTGCTGACACCAAATTGATCTGGTGTGGTCATTGTTGGGTGACAATGACATGCATAAAGTTTGGTGTCAATATGTCAAAGCTTTGCAGAGATACAGCCTAAAAGGCAGTTTGGCATCATGCCATCAAATTCGCCGATGCGGTAAATGAAAATAGGTTTGTCTATCAACATGAAATCCATAACTTTTTGCCGCCATGGTCCGAAGATGATCTGAGTTGAATTTGGTGAAAATCAGACCGTAGGCTTTCAAAGAAATCCAAAATGGCGGACATGACGTTTATGGCATAATTGGTATTAATGTTCTCTGCGTGATCCAAGAAATACCAATACTAGTCTCACGACAATAGGTAAAACTCATCCAAAGCTATTAGCATTTAAAAAAAAATGTATTATAATAATATTATAATACATAAATACTTATTCTATTACAAGGGGGCGCTGTCTTGAAACTTTCTGAATACCTTCGGGGCATGTTGCCCATGGCACATACCGAGCTTCATATCGATGCTAATGCGTTCGCAAAATACAGTATTTTACAACAAAACTTAAAATGGGCGACATGGGAAAATTGGATCTTGTTCGCCTCGGTATGCTATAGCAAATCTAGAGAGTCCAGTCTTGTGATTTTTGGCTAAACCGTTCATAAGTTATAAGAAAAAAAAAGTAATATCTCCTGACCGCTAGGTGGCACTGTACTGAAACTGTGCAGGTACCCTTAGGACATGGTTGTCATAACACACATAGATATCCATAATAAAGGCTAGATGTCTCGTCCGCGCTGCTGGCCAATGGAGGTCGACGTCCGCACCTGGCGGCCATCTTGTCACAGGCAGCTCGGTCACTCGTAACATTGTGTTTTAATGGTGCATGTACTATTTAAATAACCATAACTTGCTCAATTTTCTACCGATTTTCAAACAGTTTGGTTTGTTATAAACGTCAGAGATGTAGTTATGACACTGCATACTTATGAATAATAAGTGTATCAATAAATAATCATCCAGAATTATAGCCACGTTAATAACGTTTGTAAGAAACCAAACCGTTTGTAAATCCGTCAAGATTTCAACGAGATAAGAGTATTTGTGTTCGTGCTGATCACTCATCTTACATCAGGCACCACAGAGCCCGCCAGAAAGCTTGCCTGTGCCAAGATGGCCGCCGGTGATGACGATAGAGACTCCGCCGTAAGACATCTAGCCTTTACTATGGATATCTATGGTGACACACACCAAGTTTGGTCTGAATATGCTAAAGCATTGTGGAGATATAGCCAAGTGTCCACTTTGGCTTGCTCTACATCGAATTCGTTTATGCGTTATTCAAGAACGGTTTGTCTAATCGACTTACATTCCGTAACTTTTTGTCGCCATTGTCTGAAGATGAGCTGATTTGATTTTTGTGAAAAGTAGAGCAATGGTCTAGGACTGTCAAAAAGTAGGGGTTTTTTTATATATTAAAAATGGCGGGAAAAATGTCATGATGGAAAATGACGTCATAGGGTGGAATTTTGTTTCTAGCCCTTACGGTTCACAAGTTCTTATAAAAGTGAATGCAACTTTGGGCAGCTGGTGGTTAGGGTTAGGGTAAAAAAATAAAAAAATTACACATTTGCACGTTGCTTTCCATTTATTACTTAAATCCCCACTTGAAGTACTTCGATACCACAGCAAAAATTACTAGCTTAAATGATAAAGTTCAAACATTATTTAAGGCAAATTAATTAAACAGACTAATTACAAGCATAGATATACAATATAACAAAGTAATAAATAAAGTAAGGTCTAACTTACTGTATAAATCACTGGAAATATAGATTCATCTTTGTATATAGATCACTCTACAGCCAGGTGTAACTTTTCAAAATATCTTAAAAATGGGGACCATGTTTCATGAAACTTACATTTTGAACATTGGATGGTCCATTTCAAATTGAATGTAAATCATCATCTCTTTTGTGCCATCGAATTCTTACAATAGTCTCATGAATGTCTGCAGAACAACAGGGAGAGGTTAAATAATTAAATTAGAGTTGCTTATGTCAACAAAAACAGCTTGTCGAATGATTTCCCCCTATGTTTCCTTTACAGGATGTGTTTTTAATATGCTTTTCTTTGGTGAGCCCAGCATCCTTTGAGAACGTCCGTGCTAAGGTTGGTGCAACTTATTTTGTGGTTGTTGTTGACATAACGACAGGCAGAAACAGTGAATATTTAGATAAAGCTGATACTATAATGTAATATAAGACTATTTTCCTATTCTCCAGTGGTACCCTGAGGTGCGACATCACTGCCCCAACACACCCATCATCCTGGTGGGCACCAAACTGGACCTGCGAGATGATAAGGACACCATAGAGAGGCTGCGGGACAAAAAGCTGTCGCCCATCACCTACCCACAGGGCCTGGCCATGGCCCGAGAGATCGGTGCGTACAGAGAACCAGACACTCACTTGATTTATGTATGACAGCAGGAAAACTGTACTTCCATTACCGTAGGCATGTTTCTAGAATGAGTTATTGAGCTGGGGTCTGTAAGTGAGTGGGACGCTGGTTATGCTGTCATATGCTGGAGTTGCTGAGTGGAGTGGGCGGCACAAAGATGTCAATTGTCTTACGGGTGGCGGTCCAGCATGAGCCGGGGACGTGGGGGAGGAGCGGCAGCCGGAGAAAGATGTTCAGAAAACAAAATGGCCTTTCCTTGAGAAGGGCTCTTTGTGGTGTTAGTCTGCATGCTGCAAGTCTCCTCCGAGTGAATGTTTTCTCAGAGCCTGCCAGAAACAGTAAATGCCTGATTTATGCAAGACCAGTGTGTCAGGAGTTTATCCCAGTGTCGCATTCACTACACACACGCTGTTGAGAATGTTTTTTTGAAAGAAAGAAATTAATGCTTTTATTCAGCAAGGATGCATTCAATTAATCAAAAGACATTTATAATGTTTCAAAAGATTTCCATTTCAAATGCTGTTCTTTTCAAACTTTCTATTTACTGTTTTAATCAGAAATGTTTCTTGAGCAGCAAATCATCATATTAGAGTGATTTCTGAAGGATCATGTGACACTGAAGACTGGAGTAATGATGCTGAAAATTCAGCTTTGATCACAGGAATAAATTACATTTTACTATATATTCAAATAGAATATATTTATTTTAGATTGTAATAATATTTCACAATATTACTGTTTTTATTGTATTTTTGATCAAATAAATGCAGCCTTGGTGAGCAGAAGAGTCAAAAACATTCAAAGAAATCTTAAAAACCTCAAAGTTTTGAAAGGTAGAGTATAGGGCTGCGCGATTTTGAGGGGAAAAATGTAATTGCAATTTTTCTGAAAAAAATGCGATTGCATTTTAAAATGCAATTTAAAAAAATCCAGGTTTGCTGTGCTTTGTAGAGCTACACAAATATGACCAGTTTTATGAATATATATCAACATGGCTATAAAATAATGACATGAAATAAAGATATAAATCAGAAATATTACTGTTGTAATACTGCACAGTAAAATAAAAATGATATAATATTTAATAATATTACAACACTAATATTCATGGCTGTCTTCACTTAATTTCTTAATTTTCTTAATTGAACTTTTTTTTATGAAAACCACAGTGAGCCCTTAAATCTTCTCTTTTGTTGATAAGCATTTAAGGGTTATTTCATAATAAATGATAAGTATTTATTTCGATTAATTGTGCAACCCTAGAACTCTCCGTACTCGTTTTTTTTTCTATTCTTTTTTTTGGGACAATGCACATCAATTGAACTTTTTTGTTTACACTCAAAATGTAAATGCGCCAGAGTTAGCAGAAAAGCTCATTTTCATCTGTAGTCCCTTAAGAGCAAGTGTCCAGAAAACCCTCATCTTAGCATATTGAAGGTTGTGTTTCTGCCGCAGGTGCTGTGAAGTACCTGGAGTGCTCGGCCCTGACCCAGCGAGGGCTAAAGACTGTGTTTGACGAGGCCATCCGCGCCGTCCTCTGCCCTCCACCCGTCAAGAAACGCGGCAAGCGCTGCACTCTCTTCTGAGCAGAAGCCATGACAATCCCTGGCACCCAAACCCACACACAACTACAATATTTTTAATCAGCGTCCTGGAAAACATATTGTACTTCTCTCACAGGTTCGGTGACAGCCGTCCATGAAGTTCTAATGCACATCACATGTATATGAACCATTGGCTAGAAGCGTCCAGGCGGAGGGAAACCTCGTGGTAGATTGTTTTTCGCGTCCTCACGCGCCCAGAGATGTAATATTCCATTTCATATTGTTTATATGAGAAGTTTTAGTGGTACAGTGTAATTGTTGACATACTGTAAGGAAGTGTTTCTTGGTGTCGTAAAGGAAGCGTTTCAAAGAAATGGGAAAGTTCTGTTCATTTAGACGGTCTTGTACAAAGCTAACCATTCGCAGTATTAGCATTCCTGCCGGCGTTAAAGTCAACATGAAAGGAGAATCTGTAAAACAGGATATTCAATGAGGAAGAAAGGTTGTTTGGATTGTGAAAATTGTGTAGTTTTGTAGGTTACGTTGTGATGAAAGATTTCCATCTTTGGAATAACGTGCATCTGTGAATTGTGTGCTATAAGTGAATTATGAAACTAAATTTCATGTTGACTTTAAAGCCTCATGCAGTTATATATGAACACTAGATCTTTTCTTCTTCTCTACTCTTTAACAACTTGGCCATTCCAAACACTGGAGAAGGAAACTGTGAACATTGTGTCTTTACTTTTATGTCGATGCAAACTAATTGATGAATTAGTGAATACACTGTTTTGGGATTTTCTTTCTTTTCTAGTTTTCTATGTACGGACAAACCACTTTGATTCCGATCTGTGATGAAAGGGTTTTATTGTACAGCTTCACAATCCGAAATCTCCGAGCTCTATTCGAACAAATGCCCATTCGCAGGTGTGTACGAGTGACTTGCATGCCACAACCAGAAGCCTGAATGTCTCTTTATTGAAGGACACGCATGGGCATTTGTTCTTGATCGTTCCCACTTCCGAAACCATGTTAATACGTGTCTGCATGTGGCGTGAGTGTGGGCATTCGTCCGTGACGTGATTGGCTGTCGGGTGTGAGTCGTCTACATCGGTGCTGCGGCACTTCCTTTCTCTCACCTAACTTTGTAAATAACTCTCAAAATGGACAAAAAAAAGAAAAAAGATGATGATCTTCACAGCTGCCAAAAGACATTTCCATGATGTAAGATAGTATATTTACAAAAATGTTTTAGATGAGGAATGCATTAATTAATAAATCTATTCATGTTTTACCCTTACCCTTTTGACCCTGTGCTTTAATTCATTTTAATAAATTACCCTAAAAGTTTAATAAATATCATGCATATGTTTTTTTGCATTATATTTCAAGTCTTCCGAGGCTGTTTGTGAACTATTACTTAAATATGCTTATTTGCAATACTTTTAACTTTAAGTGCTTTGTCTATTTTTCAAGTAAGCAAAGTTCCTTGTTGCTAAGTTGAGGCCTTTTTTAATATAAATAAATAGCAATGCAGCAAATCTTGGCTGCATGATTGTTTATATCATTGCAAAATGTAAACTGTATTATTGTACAGTTCTGTATCTAAAGTTGGATATATAAGTATATTATTCATATACAGTACACTCATGTAAAGTGATATACTATCTCAGCTGCTTGATTGCTTGCATCATCGCAAAATATAAACTATATTATAACACAGCTCTTATCTGTAAATGCGACTATAAGGCATAATATAAACATGACAATATGCATTGTGAAAAGCACTACACAAATAACATTGACATGACTTGGCGTCCAAAATTTGGTCAGTATATCTGGATTGAATCACTACACGAGTGTGTATGCTGATCTCTTCTGGTGGTACATGATACTACAGGACATAAAATCCACTGTATCGTTATGGCAACTAGAACTAGCTAGAAGGAGAGACCTTCACACTCTCATGAGGACCATATGAAGTCAATAGAGCAGCATCTGTTAAACGCTTCAGTTTAGTTTTATATCATGCTAATTATGCAAGCTTGTCTAGTACAGTTTGTTACATCAAAAGGAACAGAATTTCTGTTATCATTTACTCACTCAAAATTCCAAACCGGATTTTCTTTATTCAGTGGAACACCAAAGGAGATGTTTAGTGGAATGTTCATGCTGCTCGTTTCCATACAGTGGAAACTCAACAAAAAAAAAAAAGGATAAAAATGCCACTATAAGAGCAAACAACTAATGCTCCGTATTCCATGATAGCTTTGTGTGAAGAACAGACCCAAACCAATGAGGAAGAGTAAATGCTGACACATTACGAATATTAATTGTTATGAGTTGGAGCTGAAACGCATCTCTTCAGGCTTATTCACCTTTGCTTGATGATGTTAGTTTTTAGCAAGCCAGAAACCCCCCGTCCACGGGCAGGATCACCCCATTGGTCATGGCACTCTTATCGCTGAGGAGGAAGAGGATGGAGTTGACCACATCCTCCACTTCTAAACAACACAATAAGAAAGACACTGGAGCATTACTGTATTACAGACACACACTAGAAAAGCCAAGAGACTATGGTTGTGGACAGACATTGACATTGTGGTGTTTCACAAGCCTCAAAGTTTCACTGATGTCACTGAAATGTGCTTACACAATCTTTGCTAAATCCCAAAATACAGAGAGAGAAGTATTAAATAACCCAACAGAAGAACAACATGAGCGCAGCATTGTGAACTGACAGCACTGCCAGTGTTTAGTTCATTACTAGAGTATAGAAATGTATTCTCATTGTTGCAATCAACTCAACTGCCCTCAGAGGATATTTATTTGACTGAAACAACTAGGGGAAACACAAGGAAAGAGGAATGGAGATTTTCCCTGCTGTTCTAGTGACCTATAAACACAGGCTTACCTGCAAATTTGCCCAGTGGGATCCGTGATGTCATGCTCTTGGCCTTTTCTGGGTCACTCCATCCAATCTTCCCCATTTCTGTCATCACCACAGTCGGGTTCACCGAGTTCACTCTTATCTGTCGAGGTCAGATTACATAAAACATGCTAAACTCACATGAAAGATGGATATAGGTATCAATCAATCAAGGTAGACAACACTTTCATTTTAATATATATAGCAAAACTGGCAAAGATTTGATTTTAGATTCATCATTTTTAAATCAAATTTAGCAATCAAAATAACCATAATAATAATGATAAATATTATTATGAATTTGGTATATTATTATTATTTAAAAATAATACATTAATTTATGGCAAATATGTCTACCAATAACTACAAACCAGCATTTGGACTTAATAACAACAACAACAATAATAATAATAATAATAAAACAATTAATTAATAAAATGAATAAAATAAAAAATATTAAAGCAGAAAATACAATAAAACCATGCAACACATTTTGATCTATTTACTGTTTTAATATTTTTCAAATGATTTCAATTCAATACAAATTATATTAAAATATAATAATAATAATAATAATAGCTTAATTTAGACTAAATCTGCAAGCCTTTTGTGCATTTACTGCTTATTTTATTTTAATTTAATAATAATTCTAATAAAATATTTTATATATATATATAATTATTATTTATTTATTTTTAGTTATTATTATTATTCACCATAATTGACTATTCATGTAAAGAGTTAAAACAGTGTTGAGATGGAAATGATGTCCACATTGTACATTAACGAGAAATGTTTAGATGACAGGCGTTAGGACTTGTGGATTTTGATTAGTTTTATGTTCCTAGATCAAACCAATTTGTCTACCAGTCAAGATCCATACTCTGCTGTTAATATGATCAGGAAAAGCAATAAGCTGGGGAATATTAACACGCGTCCCTAATCCACTCCATCATTTATGGCAATGCACAAACAACTTGGTCATAAATGTGCATTATTATCTGTTAGCAATTACACTAACTTCTCCAAGAAATTGCAAGGCGGTTAGAAACACACCCAAACATTTAATCTCCGATTTGAGACGTTCAGCAAACAGATTCATATGTTTTAAAGAGGGTGGTTGTTGATTGGCTTGAAGCCTCCTGGCATGACTGATCATCGCAATGTACGGTTTATTTTCACAAAGCTGTAAACAACAAACAATGAGCTTATTGTTTGATAGATTTCACAAACATGATCAGTGATTAACCTGATGCGGCCCCAACTCCAGCGCCATCACTCTGGTCAGCATGTCCAGCGCTCCTTTCGTGGCACCTTCAGAAAACACAAATGATATATTCAAATGAGCATTTTCTTCTGTATAAGACAAGTTTGATTCAAAATTTGAACTTGGTTAAGTATTTAAGAGAGTTCTCCAGTGATGCAAGGGGAAAAAAGGGCCATTAACTTCTGGAATACTCGATTCTGATTGGTCAGAAACTGAATTCTGTGGTCAAAAACTTTTTTGTATAATGACCCTTAAAATTGTACAAATGACCATCATCCCAGAAACGAATTTTCTACATAGCTGTGCTACTTGACGTCTCTCGAATACACTGTAATAAATTCAAACTTAAATCCATGTATTTATTTTTTAAGTACAGTCAGTTGATCATAATCACAAAATTAACTCCTTTAAAAACTCTAAAAGAGCGTCAAAGTCCTTTTCTCTATATTAACCAGCATTATTATTTATGTACATCATCACGACCCTTACATAAAAATCCTCCATCAGCATCTACTTTATGCATATGCATTTATGAGACATCTATAATAAGTTTACATGCACCCAAATAATCAGTTGTAATCGATCTGATTTGATTGACCTCGATCAGAATGAAATTTGATGGTGCAGACTTGAAATAATCCGATCATCAGAAAAATAATTAAGCATGTAAATGCCTGAATGGACTATTCAAAAATACCTTGTGCACACAAACAGTGCTGTGACGCATATCTTTACATGTTATACTAGGTTTATTTATGTCTCACATCATACATACTGTTCAGTGGAGACTGCTTATTTACTACATTTTTAAAGTTGAATATTACCTTTCATGCAGTATGTAATAAAGGTGTTTGTGAATGTAATGGTTCTGCAAAGTTTTATTGTCTCCGATTCTGAACTGAGCTGAATTACCAGCATCATTACTCCAGTCTTCAGTGTCACATGATCCTTCAGAAATCATTCTAATATGCTGATTTGATGCTCAATTATTATTGGTGCTCAAATATTATTTATTGTTCTTATTATTATCATTGTCGAAAACCATTTTTAGAGTATTTAGTGTGCAGATGCAACGTTTCAGATTCATATAAACAATTCTTCCAGAATCTGAAATCTGTTTGGATTCCAACTGATGAAAATTAGTGCATGTTGTTGTACCTATTGTAAAAAATGCACAAGGCCTTGGACAAAACGTTTCCCCCCCGGGTCCGATATATAGGCCTGGGATAATGTTGCCGGTTGCATGAATGCGACAAATAAGATTAGACATGTGAGTTTGAGTCGTGCACTCACAGTATACGGCGTGATCTTTCAGAGCGCACTGAGAGGCTTGACTCGAGATGTTCACAATGGATCCTCCAGTTCCTCTGGCCTTCATACCTCGAGCCACTATCTACAATAAATGCACATTAAAAGTGTTTGTAGCATTAAATAACTCATTATGAAATCATAAAGCTTTCTTCTTACTTGAGCAACATGAAGTGCAGCTTTCACGTTGACACTGAAAGACCTGCAAAAGCCATCACAAATGCAGTCTCACTATTTTAAAACACAAATTATAGTCTGTGTGAGTGATATTTTAAAGCCTTACATGTCAAACTGATCTGGCGTGACATCTAGGAAGGGCTGAAGAGTAGCGTAGGCTGCATTGTTCACCAGAAGGTCCACCAGACCGACGTCTTTCAGCGCCTGGGCTGTGGCGTCCCAGTCCGACAGGTCCACACACACCGGCTTAATGGAGGGACACTGGGGATCAAACGCATCACACATTACAAAGAGAATTTCCATTGTCACAGTCTGGCTGAATGAGACCTATAAAGCATAAAGGAGCAGCAGGCTCTCTTGGGGTGCAGAGGAATGCGATGCTTGGAAGTGATGCATGCTGGGAAACAATAGAACCGCAGGGTTTTGTCTCGGGGATGAGTTGGACCGTGACCGAGGGGTCATTACCTCCTGCACTAGGCTATCCAGGTCAGCCTTAGTGCGTGTGACAGCCGTGACCTCTGACCCACAGCGTGCCAGAGCCAGTGCCGTGGCCCGTCCGATCCCTGCGAGGCATTGAGGTGAATCAACGATCTGGTGTATCATTATACTTAAACGCACTCATTTGGAAAGGTCAAAGCAAGCTGAAAATGCACTTATTATAGACTTTTAAAGGAATCATCAACCAAAAATATCATGTCGTTCCAAACCTGTATGACTTTAGAAGATATTTTTAAATACACCATGTACAATGTACAGTGTGTTATGTATACCCTTGTGAGAAAGAAGTGCACTTAATTGTATTTAATGGTCACTTGTAGTGTATTTCACATCTTAAAAGTATGTACTGTACTTGCAGACAATATAGTCAAGAAATAAAATGTCACTGGACTTTCATGTTTCTTAACACATTTAAATACACTTCTAGAAAGTGTGCTTAGTAATAATTTTACATTGTAAATCATTGTTTAATAATATTTTGTCATGCTTTAAGACGTACACTTTTAATATGTCGACTAACATACTAAAGCACGTAAAGTCAACATGAAATAGCAGTTGTGAGTGGCTGCATCCGAAATCGCATAATTCCCTACTATATAGTAGGTGAAAAACAGTATGTGACAAGAGAAGTATGTCAGTTCACAGTATTTATAAAAGAGTAGGCAAAAAGTAACCGTATGATCTTCTACTTCCCGTGAGATTCTGAAGTGTACTTAAAATGGACACTTTACTATATCATGAGGCCACAGCGACGCAACTGAGGCTGGTAGGTCACATGGCGGATGTAGTACGTCCAAAATGACTTATACAAAATTAGTAATTACTTATACAAAATAAGTACCTACTCAAGAGAGTATATGATTTCAGATGCAGCCATAGTATTTTCTTTCCTATTGTAACGTAGACCTGAGTAAAAACGGCTTCTCGAATATAAAAAAAAATGTAGGGAGGGACTTGATTTTGTCCATGGGGAATTGATTGGATGGTTGTGGTTTGCTATTGATTGATCTCATGTGAGTGACAGGTTGCCCCGCCCTCACCATCGAAAACCATTTTTACCATCGAAAACCAGTAAACACGTCATCAGAGAAGATGGGAGGGGAAGTTATTCTGATTAAAAATTACGTGCATGGTTATAAATACTAAAATATTCCATAAAATAAAAACACAAAATACTTTTTGACTTCATGGTGACTTTAACCAACATCACTTTTTTTGTGTGTGCAAATTTTTCCAAGAACGCTATGGCAAATGTCAAAGTTTTCATTAAATAGCTTAAATATGCTGTCCCTCTCTTCAGTCGCGATTCATTGTAAATACATGGAAAAGAGCGACCAGGACAATCTTCAGAATCTCTCCCTTTGTTTTCCAAAGAATAGAAATAGGTCGTTTCGAACGAGGGTGAGTAAATATAATTTTTCATTGTCCATTTAAGAATTAAAGCTTACCTTTGCCAGCTCCAGTCACCAAAGCACGCTTTCCACTAAATGTTATTTCCATTTTCCTTATCCAGTCCAAGTTCAGCCACACGAAACTAACTTACTCTAGTGAAACTGAAAGTAAAAAAAAAAAAAGTTGTTTTCATGCGGACATTTTATGCGAAACCAGATGTGCTGAAAAGCGCGGAAAAGTAGCATGAAAGCTTATAATACTTTACGTACCTCAGTTTCAATCTGATGTTTGTTTGACAAGTCAGTGAACCGAGCGAAGGTCAGCTGAGCAAACTTTATTTGTCACGTGACCACTTTCACCATAGAAAGTGTGGATGACTTCTTAAAAAGAGGGTGCTGTCGGTCAGTTAGTTAGTATACTATCCGTTCTACATACTATAGTATGCATTATTCCTCCATGATATTGAATAATATTGGTTGGCTTTTTAGTAAGACCATGGGTTAATAAACTGAAGGGAATTTTAATTAAACCCTTGTTTATCTCACTTTAAAGGGATAGTTCACCCAAAAATGACTTCCATAGTATGGGGGGAAATACTATGGAAGTCAATCGAGCCCATCAACTGTTTGGTTACCGACTTTCTTCAAAATAACTTATTTTTGTTCAGCAGAAGAAAGAAATTGATACAGGGTTGGAACAACTTGAGAGTAAGTAAATTAGATCTTTTTCATTTTTGGGTGAACTATCCCTTTCTTCTTAAATCCAATGTAATTTATTTTTGGGGCCCCCGACTGAAGACTTTGAGTACACAACAGAAATGTAATATCTGTAAACTAGCATATTATGTGCTCTGAACTTTTTCTTTCAGTTGAAATGGAAAGCATGAACCCTGTGGTTTTTCATTCAAATAATTTTAAATAACTCAAATTAATTTTATTCTACAATATGAAGATAAGTATAGTGCCTTCGAAATAACTCATGATGGTAGATTAACAAAAATACTAAACAGGTCCTTTATGAGGATCATTCAATAGCTAAAATGTCAAGATTTTAGAGCAAACGAGTTTGAGAGTATTTCAGAATTCAGAGTAATTTTACATTCCACATTTTATTATTTATTGTGAATAAGCAACATATAGAACATTTAACATATTATCAGTTCATACATTCCCTGATATTCAAATATCATGAGCTTTTAACTGAATAATCTGCTGGAACTCTGTAGTTGGTCATTTATTATTTAAATGCAACATTTTAATAAATTGATTTTGAAAATATGCGAGTTAATCAACATTTACACCCAGCGGTCTCAAGAGAAGTAAATAATCCATGGAATAATAAATCAACTACTTTCCACGCAGGATATTTGAAGTATTACATCTTATAACCCACAAGCGGTTGTATTACAGTAACAGGCATCATGTTCAGACGAATCATGCATACACTGGCACAAGCATAATAAATAAATTTATTAAAATGAAAATCACACTTTACAACATTAAGTCATCAGATTAAAAAAAAAAAAACAGGTGCAAAAACATTCAACTGCAATAGCATTTTGTAGTGTCAATGAGCACGTTTATAAAATGTTTGTCACTGTTAAGGAAAGACAGAAAGTGTAGTTTTGGCATGTTAACGCAAACCACTGGCCTGCAGTGAGGAACGTGTTTGTGCAAATAACATTCGAACAGCACAGAAAACACATTTAAACAGTCATGTTTCTAATCATCACACACTGGTGTTTCAATGGAAATAATTCAAAAAGATGTTTTCTACTAAATAAAGCACTCTATTAAAATATGAATGGCAAGCAATGGATAAATTATCAAGATTTTGCAACAATTGCTTTTGGTCTGTATATTTTCAGTGGAGTTTAATTGCTCGACTCCATCCAAGAGTTTCTGCCTGCACGTCCAGAGACATACTGAGTGTCTTCTGTCATCCACAAATCACAAACAGAGAAGAACATAAGCTGAAGAGCATTGGCAAAAGATGAGCTGGTGGTTGCATAAATCTTGAAAACAAAATACTATAAACTGCATCAATACTGTTTTTCTCTTCCATGAAATCATCTTGCACACAAATTTATAGGATTGTGCAGGACATATTTATGGCCCTTAGGAAAAAGACAACTCTATAAAGATGATGTAAAAGCCACAAAAATGTGTCTTAAATCATTTCAACGAAAAATCCCCCACAGATAGCACAATCCTTTGAAAACGCTCTTACAACAGGGACTCATTATATGTAAATCAGTTGGCAAAAACACTATTTCAGGACAACAATAAATTACAGCCACCCTGTTTCTCCATAAACACATATAAAGTACCAAACAAACACGTGTTGACTAGCTTCACATACCACCAACCAGCTGAGTTATTCGGAGTATTATTTTGGCATGAAGAGTTGTGTCTCCCAGCGGTCAGTGACGAGTCTTGCGTGGACACCACTCGGTGTCTGGGTAGAGCAGGCAGTGAATGCTTTTAAACCTGAAGAGAGAATGGTTGCTTAAAGTCACCATGAAATCAAAATACACTGATGTTTTTTATAGAATATTGCAGTGTTTATAACAATTTTATATGTTTTAATTTTAAATGCATGTGCCCTGAAATCTTTAATCGAAATACCCTCCCTCTTCTCTTCTCTGATGATGTGTTTACTGGCGTGAGGGCGGGGCAACCTGTCACTCACATGAGATCCACCAATGGCAAACCACAACCATCCAATCAATTCCCCATGGATGAAATCAAGTCCCACCCAACATTTTTTTCTTATTCTAGAAGCTAGTGATGGGTCTTTCATGGACGATTTGTTTATTGTGTCTGTCACGTGACAAATTAACGAAAGACTCGGAAGGTAAAGTAATTATTTATATTCCCTGTAAATTATATTTGACTGCATTATAATGATTTCTTAATCCAGAATATGATCAAGATTGCCTAGGTGGACGTGTTCGGGGAATTTGGCTGTTAACAATATTTAAAGCCACTTAAATGAACGAAATTACTCCAAAAATGATTCGTTCATTTTGATGAACAAGAGAGTCAGTAAAATGTTTCGAACTTCCCATCACTACTAGAAGCCGTTTCACTCGGATATACGTCACACAGGGAAGAAAAGACTATGACAACTTGTATTTCATGTCTGAGGACCAGTGTTGGGGAAGTTACTTTTAAAAAGTAGTGTTTGCTCATTACTCGTTACTTCTTAAAAAAAGTACTAGTTACTTTACTTAGTTACCCCCTTCGGAAAGTAACTTTTTACGTTACTCGTTACTTTTATGTTGCTTGACTTTGGGCAGAACCCAATATCTGTTCCTAAATGTGTAGACCTACATAAAATTCTACTATGAACTCTACTTATTGAAAAATTAAATAACATTTGAAAAACCTGTATAAACTGAACACCATAGAACAATATTAACTATTGAGCGGTGGTGACGCGTTCATGAAAAATGTCACAAAGAACCGGCAAAAGTAATGTTTATGAATATGTCGAATATAGCAAGGAGACATTTCAATTGTTTATTAATAAACAAGTGTTTTCTTTGTCAGTCAGTGTCGGCTGCAAAGTTAAAGATGCTGACTCGCGATCTTCGCAGTAGTGAACGCGCCAGAGAGAAATGCACATTTCATACGGATTACATAAGCAGAGAGTCTGTTTTCTCTCGTTTTGAATACTTTTGTTTTAAAGTACACATTTCAAGCTTTCTATATATTTCTCAGATCTTTGAGGGAAGTAGCTTGCGCTGAGTTTCAGTTCATTTATGAGACGAGCTCAGTTCACGCGCCGGCACGGAGCTCCTGAGAAGTCCTGATTATATTGCCTGCTATATTTACTTCTTATTTATTTAAGACAATTGGTTGATGAAACATTGATTAAAATGAAGATACAATTAATACAAAACGAAATTCACTTTAAAGAAAGGCTTTCTACAAAAACAAACTTAATGAAGTGGTCAAAATCATGTCTGCCCACTCCATTTGTCTCCCGATTGCGCAACTTATGCTCTTACTCATGCTTTTCACTTTTCATATAATCAACATAGATGAAATGAAAAAGTAAATTATTTTATTTAAACATAAGTATGAAACTAAATCGTTTTCTTTAATGACTAGGCTACAAAACGTAGGTCTATACAGAGAAATTTAATATCGGAGCGGGATTTGAGCGAACGCCGTCTTACTGTACATGTGGGGGTAGAGGTACGATTTTCGAGCAATCATCGAATTTTATTTTACTTGATATGCCAATCCGTAATATTTGGTGTTTTAAATGCCTGTTTGAGGTCTCTGTGAAAGTTTTAAAGCAGTCTTTTAGTGCCGCTTTCAGAGTGGTCAAGTCCGAAGAACTGTTACGTCCATAACATTGTTTCTTTCCTCATAAATGCGAACACGAAAAATTCAATAAAATGAATATTTTATGTTCTGTGGAGAGCCAACCCTTCTTCGTCCGGTGGGTAGTATTACTTTTGGTTTGCACAGTGTAATTCACAGAATTGATTGCTCTGCTACAAGCCTCTGTCACCTACCATGGAGCTTGTGACTATTGCAAGCGCGCAGCTGAGGAGACAGTGTTGCTGTCAAATCTGTCCATGGGAAAAGTAACGTTGTGCGGAATTGAAAAAGTTTCGTTTCGGAATTGAAAAATTCTACGTTTCGTTACCAAATTTTCAGTAGTAACGCGTTACACTACTTTTTACCCGAAAAAGTAGTGTAAGTACTCTGCTGAGGACCTATTATTTTTCTTTAGTCTTTCTTCAGTGTGTAATGTCGCTGTTTGAGCATGAAAAAGCTCTGAAAAGTCACAGTCTCTCCAGCGGGAGTTCTTCTCTATATCAGTGTCAGTGTTTCTGAACTCCCTGAAACGCCTCCATTGTAGTCTTGAGTTTTCTTCCGGGAACGAACACGTCACACTATTCCGAATTTAAATAATTCATACGCAGAATAAAGGGGCGGGGCTGGTTGAGTTAGTTTGTAGTGTGTTGAAACTGGTGGTTATGGTAAGGGGCGGGACATTTCCCAAATACACTCGAAGCGCTCGACCAATCAGAACACACTGCTCCAGCCAAATCAGACAAATCAGATCACAGAGTGATTTTCAGAAGGAGGGGCTTCATAGAGACAGGTGCTAAACAGGGGTGTGTTTAGTTCCCAAAAGCATCGTTAGCCAACTATGGTTGCAAGTTCTGTTGTTATCAGCATAGTTTAACGAGTCAGTGTTTGAAACCACAGTTCCCGACCTAGCCAACATTCGCAAACAGAATCGCAAAGTTAAAGCATAGTTTCATGTTTGCATGACTTGGACTTAATAAATCCGCCTTGAGCAAAATAAGCAAGCTGACATTAAGTACAATCTAGATCTTTCATTTACTAATTTAAATTACGTCTTTTAGTTTGTCAAAAGATTTTAGGTGCCATTTTTGAAGAGTGTGCATGCGAGTACATGCTCTAGTACGCAAGGAGTCTATGATTTAATCTGGAAATAAAGCAAAATTTGAAAAAAGAGAAAATGAGAAAAAAAGATAGAGTTCATCCTCAGATCCCATGTCTGTAATTTATAGCAAAAGATCTAGCATTAATTAAATCTAAAACGAATTGATTAAAAGAAGTTATTACTCCACCACCTGCGTGACATCATTAACCAACGTGGTTGAACAACAAATTTGCAACAGTACGGTTTTGGCAAACAGTCGTGACTATCTAGTTGATTTCTTCAACGATGCATCGAAGTCGTAACTATGATAGTTAAGCTGTGAGTTATGTCATTGTACTTGAAACCCACCCTAGAGTGTTACTGACAGACTGTGAAGAGGAGCTGCAACGTCAAATAAGTGAAAAATAATGTGTGTTTTTTTTAACTATCAAGCATGTAAACCTATTCTAGTAGAGCCCAAAAACTAAATGAGCAGAAAATGGCCTCTTTAATAAAAATCCAACACTTAAACTTTATTTTTAAGCGATGAAACAACCTCTGGTTCAAAGCATTATATATTTGGTGTTGACGTATGTGTCTGTGTACCGTGAAGGGTCTTCAGCCAATGAGAACACTCCCCCAACACTGACCACATTCCTCCTGTTCTCGAATCCACCATAACTGAGGGTCACCTACGGAGGAAAGCACAGTAGCACAAAAACTGTGAGGATCTCAATCATAAGAGGCATCATGGGATTGGAGTAGGCAGGTATTATATAAGTAGGATATATATGGGGTGGGAGTGATCTGGGATCAAAGCCAAGCCCTCAATAAATGCTGGAAGTGTGCACTTGTTTTTAAAACCAGGGTGCTACAGTACTAACCCTGTAAAACCTGACATACAAAATTATTGTAATTTTTTCAAATGGTACAATTTATTGAGCCTTTCGACAACAAATCTTATTTAAAATTATAAAACGATAATAGTACTTGAGTAGGAAGAAACGTCTCTAATTTCATTCAGAGAGCCAAACTGAGCAAAATATACAATTTGCTGCAGATGCTGATATTTATATGGATAAATAGTAAGACGAAATTCGGATAGCTTGTAATGTAAATCAATGAGATCTTTATAACGGTATATCTAACATAAAATGCATTTAAATATCAGGCGTCACTCTATATCTGCCAACAATGTCTTAGTAAGATGATATTTAAATGCTTAGTTTCATGATCAAAGTTGGTTTTAAACATATAATGATGATTGAGGGATGAACAAATAAATCTTCCTCAAAAGCCTGTTGATCATATTTGATACATTTCAACATCATTTTTCTTATTATACACTTATAATAATTTCTTATAACATTTTCAACAAAAGTTGTTTCAGTCCATTAAGCGTTTATCTTGAAATATTACTAACAATATAAATGCTATTCTTTTAGACTCTCCGCTGTGAAGGCCTCATCGACACGACAGCCATCGGCACTGATCCTCAACAAACTCGTCTAGTTAATTTAATATTCAACAATATTATTGATCTGCCTGCATTGACACCATTATATGAGAACTGAACTGGACAATGACATCACGGTTTTCTCCAGAGCGGCTATTATTATATGAATAAATTAACTAAATTAATAACTTTTTACAACAAAAATTAAACATCACTGAGCTTACTTCAGCTGGACTGTGACGCTATTTTCTTCTGGAAACAAACTTTGTTGCATTATTTTCCTGTTATCTCTAAAAAGCTGCTTTGAAACAATCTGTATTGTAAAAAGCGCTATATAAATTAAAGCTGCGAGCAGCATTTAGCGGGGTTCAAGCATTTAAGGCCTTTAAACACATAAGCATTAAAGACATTAAGTTTTATTTAGCAAGCATTTACCACTGATATAATAGATGGAAAAGACCATTTACAGCCAATTTACCATAGGAAATACATGGATTTTAAAGCTTTTTGCCAGTTATAGCGCCATCTATTGTCTGATCCCCATGAAATTTTGCATGCTTTTTCAGAATGTTATGTCCCATATTCTCACCATTTCTCGTGAAGTTCTGAGTTTTCGTTTAGGATTTATAGGCTTTTGAGTGTATTTTGCCACGCCGATTTTATAAATGACCCTGTTATACCCATACAAATGCAAAAGTTCAACTTTTTTTTAGTGCTGTCAAACGATTAAAATATTTAATCGCGATTAATCGCATTAATGTCATAGTTAACTCGCGATTAATCGCAATTAATTTTTATCTATTCTAAATGTCTCTTGATTTGTTTTTGTCCCATTATTTTTTCTCATTTTAATGCTCTTATCAACATGGAAAAGTGGATCGCCTTGCTTTGTGCAAATGTTTTTTATTGAAAACAACATTGGCATATACTGTGTTCAATTTCACACTAACATTCTCACTTGGAGCAAATAATCTCTCAATGTAACACTGTCCATCAATAAAAGGGTGAAAGAAATACTGACGAGGTCCTGATATTGACGAAGGGGCGGAGAATTCGCATCAGCTGTGTGTGTGTGTGTGTGTGTGTGTGTGTGCTTGGCCATCAAGTGGTGTTTCAGACTGGACGTGCTGCGATGATGACAGCTCAGTTCACAACGACAAAACACACAGATCACTTTGGTCTTGTCAATGGAACCATTTGGCAACTTTTTAAAAGTAAACTTTCCATTCAGAATCTTATTGGCATCCATTTCGGCGTCTTGCGCTCGTCATCCACTCAAAACGTAACGTTAACCTACTATTTGGCCGATAATTATTTATCTAGAGAGTCCAGAGAATTGTCTTAGATTGGTTTGGTTCCGATCGGGCGAAAAACCTAGGACTAGTTCGCAAAAGTAGGTTTTGGACAAAATTCAAGATGGCAGAAAATTACTTATGCTGAACATTTGGAAAAATCCCCACTCTTTTACCCCCGGGTCCTCGCAGCGATCTGACCTGTTTGAGTATGCTGTCTGTAGGGAGTCTCTGGAGATTCTCCAGGTGTGAGTGGAACAGGCCTGTGTGTGTCAGAGGAACTTCCAGCAACGCCTCGATGATGTAACCTACTGTACAGTCGTCCGGGAGGCGGATCTTCTCTGCAGTTGTGATGAAGTTTCCAAGACTGTGAGAGAGAAAGAAATAATTCAGTGTAAAAATAACATGTTTACATGTACACCAAAACGCTCATAACATCTAAGACAGCTTATCGATTAGTATGTAAACCTGCGTTAGAGGCCTATAAAAGATTTTTTACACGTATAATTTCAAATTTATGGTGTCTTGAATATACAATTATAAGGTGTTGACATCAAAACCGTTGCATAGTAAGTCATGTGCTCGCTGAATAAAGCTGACAAGAATGCCGGAAGGTGTGTTTACATGCAAAGTGGTTCTGGGGTAACAGGCATTAATGCATAATGCCAATGATGTTTTGTTTAAACCTTTCCTACGAAGAAAAAACTTGTAACAGCATGATCAGTGTAAGATCACTGAGAAAAGGGTAAGTGTGTGTGTACCTTGCCCATGGACTCATTTTGAGCGCTAAGCCTCGGCTGATGCAGAATCCAGCTCCTCCAGTGGCGAACCAGAACTTCACTGACACCTGCAGAACACACACGAGATTAATACACTTCCATTCAGACGTAGGATGTTTTTTTCCAAAGAAATGTATACTTTTATTTAGCAAGGATGTATTAAATTGATCAAAACTGACAGTAAACCATTTCTGATGTTACAAAAGATTTAACTTTAAAATAAATGCTGTTCTTATGAAGTTTCTATGAAACAAAAAATCCATGGATTCCACACATATCTGAAGCAGTAAAACTGACAAATCAGCATATTTAGAATGATTTCTGAAGGATCATGTGAGAATGAAGACTGGAGTAATGATACTTAAAATTCAGCTTTAAATAAATTACATTGTAAAAATATATTCAAATAGAAAACAAGTATTGTACATTGTAATAATATTCCACAATATAACTGTTTTCACTGGATTTATGATCAAATAAATGCAGCCTTGGTGAGCAGAAGAGATTTCTTTCAAAAACATTAGAAAATCTTAGTGATGCCTAACTTTTGAAAGGTGCTGTATATATTAATCATGATCAAAATTTCACAAAGGCAAAAAAAACAATGGCAAAAAAATAAAACCCGAATAAGAATGAACCTATAATTTCATCAAAGACTGAGGAAAATTACTTTTTTTTATATAGTATAGCTCAGTCAAAACGTACTCGAGATCATATTTTACTACAAGAATTACATTTTAGCATACAATAGTAGTTTCTTCAAATTAAACTGGACTTTTATTTTGACGTTTTGTCATGAAGATCTATTAGTTTCAGTTTCAGTGTGTATTTGATGTTAGTTTTTTTCAAATTAGAGGTAAAAAGCTTGTGAAGTAGGGTGACCAGACGTCCCGTTTTTCCCGGGACAGTCCCGTATTTCAACTCTAATTTTAGTGTCCCGACTTATTATGAAAAAATCATGTTTTGTCCCGTATTTCATCGTTAATATATATTGTTTATATATTATAGGTTTCGTTTTCGAAAGGCTACGTGAATATGTATGTATGTTATGTTCAAAACCGTGCAGCGCGCGCATGACAGAGAGGGAGAGAGCGAGAGACCTTGCGTGTGTGTGCTATAGTACGCATTAATACGCATGCGTCTTAACCCCCCCCCCCCCCCCCTTCTGTGTCGGTCCCGTTTCGGTCCCGTATTCAACTCCGAGAAATCTGGTCACCCTATTGTGAAGTCACACTCAGAAGCAGCTCTGGAGATGAAGTTCATGTCTTCATATATTGAGACGCAGATGCTGAACACATTGGGTCTCATTCATGAAACACGAGCAGAACGAATTTTTGTGTAAATCGTGTGTAAAGTGGTTCTGGCGTAAATTTTCGGATTTATTAAAATATTCGTATTTTCCAAATGTTAGTTGGTACACAAGAAATCTACACCTGCTCCCAGCCACGCGTAAAAAGTGCGCTCAACACCCGAACGTTTTGCTCATTAATGAGGCTACATTTTAATTCACCTTAATCGGGTACATATTTGCACAGCATTTTGAAAAAATATTATATATAGTAATTACATACGTTTTTTCTTATTATGAGAGCCAGTAATAGCATCTGCGATGGTGGTCCTTCTCCAGTTTGAATACTATTTTTCCGAAGTGAACTAATTCGTTTTTTGCTCTCAAGCTTAATGTCGAACCATTTTCTTCTCACTTCTGGGAATGTTCGATTAACAGATGAAACTCCATTAACTGCATCTGTAATATGCTGCCAAGCTTCCTTTTTTTTTTAGGACCCGATATGCCACTATGTACGCTTGAAAATAAAATGTGGCGTTTTGAATAAACTTCTGATAATAAAACTTCAATTTCTGCATCTGAGATTTTTTTTTTTTCAATCGCATTCATGTCATAATATGATGCCCATATATAGTTGTCAGTCGGATTTAATGGGCGGGATTTATGGTAATTGAGAATGAGCGTGCAGGCGCGCCCCATTTACGACTGATTGTAATTCATTAACACACACACACATTTAACTATCACATCTGACGTTTACGAAGTATTTGTGAATCAGGAGAAGAGTTTTCGGGAAGGTCTCTTTAAGCGCAAATCACTCGCATATTTACTCGTATATTTACGAATGTTTCATGAATGAGACCCATTGTGAGGATCACACCTGTTCGAGTTTTGTGTAGTAGACGAAACTACGGCACTCATTCAGAGAGGCACATTATTTAGCCTGACGTCGTCATACTCAGATTCTAGTCAGAATGCGAGTCTGATTCTGCAATCACATTGGGCTGTGATTTTGGGGCGTGTTTCAACCGAACCAGGAACCAAGAAAATGCCTCTGCACTCAATTGGATCGACAAATGCCTTGATCGCGGTTCTGTTCCTCTTTTAAAATGAATGCGCCGTCTACATCTTCTATAACAGACGCGATGGCTAAATCTACACATCTCAGTTCTCCAGCGGCGGCCATTCTTTATTGTAAACGAATTCAACCCAAGCGCTCTTTGGTGACGTGGATGATTACGTTACTGTTGATCATCTGTCCATCACTGTATAAAGCCCGCCCTGACAATTTGATTGGTCCGAACAGCTTTGGTTCGGGCATACTTGCTTCACAACGGATCAAGTCCAGACCGAACTTCCCATCCTCAAATGTTGTGGGCGGGGCTAAACATTATTACCAGCTGTTGTCACATTTATTTCTGCTGTGTGATAGGCTGTTAAATAAATCCAAGGCCCTTTTTATTCACAATCTCCTCATCGTCGGCAAACACAGCACTCATTTTCGGATGTGTTCTGATGTCACAGCGATGGTGCAACCGAACCCCACACCAACGCAACATGTTAAATTATTGGCTGTTTACTTGTCACCCGTAGCACTTTATCAAGGCATACGATAGGCTGTTTATGATCAGGGACGATGCACGCTTGAGGGTTGTTCATGTAACCAAACTTGTTATATGGTTTCATGTCTAATTACATTTTAATGTAATAATTTAAAGGGGTCATATAATGCCATTTTTGTACAAGTTAATATGAATGTTTAGGGTCTAAATGAAAACTTTGTAATATACTTGTATTAAAAATTTTCATTAGTATTGTAAGAAAACACTAATTTTACCTGGTCAAAATCAGCTCTGTTTTCAGCATGCCGTTTCAGTGCATATGCCTTTAAATAATAAACCCCGCCCCTCTATTCTGCGGGCGTTTAGACACAGCGCACGTGAAGTGTTGCCTTGACAACAGTTGAGGGTATATTTTGGAGAGAGAATGGCAGTCTCTTGGAGTCTCTTGAGGACACATCTGTGCAATCGTATCAGTTTGAACCGGAGTCGCATCCGGAACAAGATGACGGCCGCAAAGAAGTTCGACAATTAAGGCTCGAACAGGACGTTTCTGAATGGTTGGTTAACGTAATGCCACTTTGATCTATCTTTGTATGCACTGGCAGGGTAGAGTAGTGAGATACGAACGCTGTGTTTACTGATGTAAAGGTTAGTTCATTGACAGATTGACGTTACAACTAATGGTCATGAAAAACTTGTTCCCACGATTTGCAAAGATTAATATAAAGGTTAATACAACTTTACACTCCCTTCTTCTGGAGGTGCAGAGGGAACATAAATAGTTGGTACCGATTATTTTTTCAGGAGCAGCTTCTTGGCAAAACCAGCTTTACTGATCCTCGTTTATAAAGAAGTCTACGATAAATTATTCGTGCAAACATGAAAGCATTGACGTTGATCGTGGGGAATATTCCCATCGTAAACAAAACTCAGCCACTGCGTCTTCAGCGGTTCGGATTTAGGAACATCAAAATGATTTCTGTGTTTGTTATTGCACCCGAGAACAGAACAACACAACCGCTTAGACGCCATTTTGCTCCAGTGTATCAACAATGACGGACTAGGATGAGAGCTCGCTCAGGGCGGGTCTGTGTTGAAACTGCTGTCAATCAAGAACCGTGGGAGGGGCGTCATGCGCCGTGTGACGTCACACGGTGAAACGGCTCAAATTTGAGACGGGGGAATACATATAAGGAGATTAAAACAAAACCACTGGATGGATTTTTATCATTAAATGATGGTTGTGTACAGGCACTGCCAACACACATTGCAGTACAATCAACTTGTAAAAGTGCATGTACCATTATATGACCCCTTTAACGTTTTATCGGAAAAAAATTCTACCGTTATCGATAAAGGTATACCCTTGATAAATACCGATGCCGTTTTATCACCCAGGCCTACTCTTTTCCAGTCAAAGCTCACCGATCCGTCGCTCTTGACCCTCTCGGCGGCCTCTATGGGGTGGTCCAGACTGGGTCGGCCCAGATACACATCTTGTGTGTGAGAGTAGGACGACAGCAGCTCCAGCAAACTGGGCAGGATCACATAGTTATCATCATCCACGTGACAGAACCACCTGCAGAACACACACGGGGAAGACAGACAGCACATGAAAACACTGCTGATATCTTTACAAGGCTGTTAATACACTAATGTTCGTTAATGGGATCATTATGAATTTTTAAATACAATTGAAAGAAGTCTCTTCTGCTCACAGAGGCTGCATTTATTTGATAAAAAGTACCGTAAAAACAGTAATATTGTGAAATACTATTATGAATTAAAATAACTATTTGAATATATTTTAAAATGTAATTTATTCCTGTGATCAAAGCTGAATTTTCAGCATCATTACTCCAGTCTTCAGTGTCACATGATCCTTCAGAAATCACTCTAATATGATGATTTGCTTAAGAAACATTTATGATTATCATCACTAGCAGCGTTTCCATTACTCTTCAAATTGCGCAAATTGAAATTGCGAATTGAAAATATGCCCATTGGAAACACGTCAATTTCGCAAAAAAGTTTACATGCTCGCATGAGGTGGTTTTTCAGGCAATTCGAAAAATAAATATTTTGCAAAGCTGTTTTTGTGCATTTATAGATCCTCTGACGTAGATGACGCGGTGTGTTTGGACAGAATACGAGACAGAGTTCTTTATTAAATTCATAAAAGACAAAATAATTACAGGAATACTGGATTCTAAACCTCAAAGAAATGCCACAATCAAGACCTCGAAGCAGATATGAGGGAGAAACACCCAGAAACACCTCATATGTGCCGCTCTCAAGTATAAGGGTCTTTCCTTGTCATTGATGATTGGATAACACACATACGCCTCCTTCGATTATTAATAATGGCCAGTGCAGTGGCTGGGATATACATAAACCTACCAACGTCTGTCGCCATGATTTTTGGAATGACTTATCTTGACTCCTTATCGCGAGAGGAAAAAATTAAGTTTTAGTCGCATAACATCGATTAATGGAAACACCGCCATTTCGCAATAGTTTTTTGTCAACATTTAGAAAAAAGAAAATAGCAAAAGTTTTACGCAAATCTGTAATGGAAACACGCCGAATGTTGAAAACAGTTGTGCTGTGTAATATCTTTGGGGAAACCCTGATATATCTTTCAGGATTTTTTGAAGAATAAAAAGTACAGCAAAACATTTTTGTAACATTATAAATGTATTTCCTGTCACTTTTGATAATTTGAATGCTGAATAAAGTTTTTTTTTTTTATCTTACTTAATTTACCCAAAACTTTTCAATGGTAATGTTTCACTGTTACCAAAAAATATATAGCAGCTCAACTGTTTTCAACATTATATTAATCATAAATGTTTCTTGAGCATCAAATCATCATATTACAATGATTTCTGAAGGATCATGTGACCCTGAAGACTAGAGTAATGATGCTGATAATTCAGCTTTGATCACAGGAATAAAATTATATTTGATCATATATTCACATAGAAAATAGTTATTTTACTTTGTAATAATATTTCACAATATTACTGTTTTTACTGTATTTATAATATTAATATTAGCCTTGGTGAGCATAATCAAAAACACTTTTTTAAAAAATCCAAACTTTTGGCTAAATTATTAATGATAATGCTGATGATGACGACTGTATGCTATGATTTCATGAATTGGGAGATTTTCCATTTAGTGAGATGAATTTCCATTAAATATGAACTCAACTTTTTTTGTGACTCGATGAACTTGTCATACTCCACAGACATCTTGCAGCACAGGGCTTGACGCGTGTGCGCCGCAGAGCAGTTGGTGTTGATGATGTTGAGCCCTTGAGGAGACAATGACAGACCAATTATGCTTTTATGACTTGGATGACATCAGGATGTTTAGACATAACATAATTTCACATGACATACTCCATGTCATGATGAAATGAAGCATGAACATGAGGTTCTTCTAACTAGGCATGGGTCAGGATGGTTGTCTAGTCGAGTAGTGAGGTTTTATTATGGTATCTAGATTCTTTCTCTTAACATTAAGCTGTAAAATGCGTGATTATTGAATAGGCAGAACTGCTCAAAGACACTACCTGCTTTCTGCCTGAGCTCCTTATCCTCCCCATCAGTGAAGATAAACGTCTGAAACAGAGAAAGCCATTGTTCACTGCAAAAAAAGAAACAATCTGCAGGAGCCAGAGATGCAGTGACCAGTACTGTAAAATACTTGTAAGGCTGAAATCATCTTTACACATTTTAGTCATGGATTCACAAACTCTTTTTGTCAGCCAAACCCCTTTGATCTAAGTATATTATATCTAATATATCTAAATATATTTACCTCAAGTACCCACTGAGAATTTGAAGTTAATATTTCAATAATTTAACACCACATTCACATGTTCATGGTTCTCTGATATTGGTTAATGGTTACATGACATGCAGGAAAATATATAATGCAATTGAGATAACATTATAGTTTGTTTTTTATATAATTTTAATTTGTTTTTATTTTTGTATTCTCCACTTTCATTTAAAATTTTAGTTAAAGTTTTTGTGTGTTTTTGTCATTTTTATTAGTTTTTTCTTCTAAGTCTATGTGGTTTATTAATTTTTCTTTTAGTTTTAATTATTTTATTACATCAAGTTAAACAATGAAAATAAGAATTATTGCTATGACAATTTTCAGAAACAAAATAAGTTTTTTTATATTTTGTTTTATTTCAGTTAACGTTTATTTTATTTCAAGTAACAAAAATGTTATAACAAATTAGTAAGCAAATAAAATAATTAGTCTTTTTAAAAATTAATTAAACTTGCATTATGTAATTTTACTGTAAACTAGTTGAAATGGTGGTTTCTGGAAGTAATTTACAGTAAAAAGAAAAAGAAAAACAGTAAAAGGACAATGCCAAAGTCCCTCTGTGACCCATTATATAGGATTATATTTTATAAATAACTTTGTTTCCTCTTACTTTCAATATCAGTTATGTACATTAGGGTGTTTTGTGTCATATTTTTTGCCATTTAGTGAATGCGGCGTGCAATTTTACAACCTGTATTATAATAGTTAACAGTTAATAATAAAAATGTACTATTGATAGTTGAAGTAGATACACTCACCACCTAAAGGATTATTAGGAACACCTGTTCAATTTCTCATTAATGGAATTATCTAATCAACCAATCACATGGCAGTTGCTTCAATGCATTTAGGGGTGTGGTTCTGGTCAAGACAATCTCCTGAACTCCAAACTGAATGTCAGAATGGGAAAGAAAGGTGATTTAAGCAATTTTGAGCGTGGCATGGTTGTTGGTGCCAGACGGGCCGGTCTGAGTATTTCACAATCTGCTCAGTTACTGGGATTTTCACGCACAACCATTTCTAGGGTTTACAGAGAATGGTGTGAAAAGGGAAAAACATCCAGTATGCGGCAGTCCTGTGGGCGAAAATGCCTTGTTGATGCTAGAGGTCAGAGGAGAATGGGCCGACTGATTCAAGCTGATAGAAGAGCAACTTTGACTGAAATAACCACTCGTTACAACCGAGGTATGCAGCAAAGCATTTGTGAAGCCACAACACGCACAACCTTGAGGCGGATGGGCTACAACAGCAGAAGACCCCACCGGGTACCACTCATCTCCACTACAAATAGGAAAAAGAGGCGACAATTTGCAAGAGCTCACCAAAATTGGACAGTTGAAAACTGGAAAAATGTTGCCTGGTCTGATGAGTCTTGATTTCTGTTGAGACATTCAGATGGTAGAGTCAGAATTTGGCGTAAACAGAATGAGAACATGGATCCATCATGCCTTGTTACCACTGTGCAGGCTGGTGGTGGTGGTGTAATGGTGTGGGGGATGTTTTCTTGGCACACTTTAGGCCCCTTAGTGCCAATTGGGCATCGCTTAAATGCCACGGCCTACCTGAGCATTGTTTCTGACCATGTCCATCCCTTTATGGCCACCATGTACCCATCCTCTGATGGCTACTTCCAGCAGGATAATGACCATGTCACAAAGCTCGAATCATTTCAAATTGGTTTCTTGAACATGACAATGAGTTCACTGTACTAAAATGGCCCCCACGGTCACCAGATCTCAACCCAATAGAGCATCTTTGGGATGTGGTGGAACGGGAGCTTCGTGCCCTGGATGTGCATCCCACAAATCTCCATCAACTGCAAGATGCTATCCTATCAATATGGGCCAACATTTCTAAAGAATGCTTTCAGCACCTTGTTGAATCAATGCCACGTAGAATTAAGGCAGTTCTGAAGGCGAAAGGGGGTCAAACACAGTAGTATGGTGTTCCTAATAATCCTTTAGGTGAGTGTATATAGGTATATTAACAATATGTGACTTAATGACATATTGGTGTTTGTGTTTTTTACAACTTAAAACTATATATGCCATCCCAAAATACATAAAACAATTGTCAATTTTTTTACATAAATTTAACAGGATATTACAAGTATAATAATAGGATATAGGAGTAAATAAAGACAATTTTCATTTTTTGATGAACTACCGCTTTAAAGTCCTCCATACTCCGCTACTGCTGCAAGAGTCACAACACTGGAAATGAAAGGGATTGCAACACTTGGTACATCTTGAGTTGCACTTTGGAAAACTCCCGAACAAAGCCACTGTGAGAATGTCTGAGATGTTTTTTTTTTCTTCCAGAGTTTAAAGCTTAAAGCTGTTTAAACAGGATTAATGTTTTCCAATGAGTGCATGACATCTCCAACAAAGTGAAGTATGTGTGCACATGTAATTATCATTTGAAGATGCTCCTTGAACCTCTTTTTCAGAAAGTGTAACTAAAAAACTGCTAAAAGTAGAAGATTATTCAAGTAGAAAGTCATATAAGGAACAAAGTTGAGGAGTGGACTTTGCCCCAAAGTCTGGACAAATTCTCCAAATCTAATAGGGAAAGAATGTTTCTTCTGGCATGAGCTGGCACTTACCAAACACACAATCTCGCTTTATGAGCAAAGCTGGATTCTTGAAATTTCTCCTGGGCATTTTGGCCCTGTTGTGCAATGGCAAAACAATGGTTCTGCGATGCTTTACAGGTTTAGTCAATCTTGGGGCCCCCTTGGGCCCCACTCAGGACTCTGGAGAGGCCTCAGGAAGGGGGAGAGTCTACTGCCCTGGCGCCTTTGGCAGTCAAGTAAATGTGTTTGGATGAAAGCAAACACACGTCGTCTTGTGTCAGTGTGTCTCGGGTTGCTGAGGAACTTCCTCTTCCAGGGGGCCCGAGGGGCACCAAAACTGAACCCCCCGTTAACCACAAACACTCTTAAAAGCCCCAGGCACACCGCCAGACAGCAGCTGCCACACTTCCTCCTCACAGGTTTACGCTGACCACTGTGTGTATTAACACCTTTAAACAAGTCACTGGCCATGCACAGGTCCAGAAGAGCGATGAAGTCCACATGAAATGGAAGTTCAGCCTATTTGTTTTGCATTGAGAACGATTCACCCATGCATAATTTTTTTTTGGATCTTGTAATGTTTAATCAAAAGGTCAAAAAACAACCTTCCAGTAAAACATCAGTAGGGCCCTATGATTTCCGCGATCACGGAATCGCGGACGGAATTACGGAATTGGACAAATAACGCGGAATCTAGTGTTAACGCGGAATTTTACATATTTGGATTGAAATTCTGTTTTTGTTTGGGAGAAGAACGTATGTCTGGTGAAAATGCAGACCGGGGGAAGCAAATCTGGGCGACACAACCCCTCCCGTCATTTCAGCTCCAATGACGGCATCAAAACAATGAAAGCATGGCGAAGCGGCTCTCCATGGCTCTGCTTTCCTCGGCGAAAAAGTTAAGAAACTCGACGCTATAAGCCCTCAGTACCGAGCCGAGCAGTTCGCACGTGACTTTTATGCAGTGTTTTTCACACACATAGACTAATTTGCGGCCACAAAATCAACTCCGGCCGCCACATATTGCGTTTCGTTCATTTTTTTACGTTATTTAAAACACGCGGCGTATTCTTTCCGTTGTATTTCCTTTCCCCGCTCTCCCTTCGTCTCTCTATCACTCACGCGTCTCTCTCACATACACACACACACCGCGTCTGTCTATGAGGCGCCGGAATGGACAAAAGCGAAGCGAACTCCGCGAGCGACACTGGGTGAGAGAGAGACAGAGTGTGACTTTTATTTAAACTTTAAACGAATATAATTTATTTTACTGAACAGTTTAAAGCTCATAACCATATTTTGTTGTTACTTGAAGAGTGCAGTGTCATTTGGCATCATGCAGTATTTGTCCTGAAAAGGCTACTGAGTAAATGTCTGTAATTTAAGGTCATTCCTATTTTATTTGTATACATTTTAATCATTAACTTTAAAAGCACACTCTTTTTATGACTAAAATAACAGTAAAGGGTAAAAAAAAAAGAATTCCCAAAAATTAAAACGGAAAAAACGGAATTTGGGAAAAAATAAAACGGAATTTGGGAAAAAATAAAACGGATTTCATAGGGCCCTACATCAGGCTACTGGTGGTGATCATTTAGTTTGAAACAGAGTTTAGAAATAAATCATTTAGTTCGAAACATCGACATTCCGCATAATATCTAGGGCGGTGTGACGACACTTCAATTAAATGTCTAAATTATATGATGTAACATAATTTTTTTTATACATTTACTAGAAGACTTGTTTTGAGACCTTTTTAAGTGAGCTGTCATCAAATAATTAACTTTATTTTGAAATGCTGTCAAAGTGATTAATCGCATCTTGCATAAACGTCTGTAAATAAATATATAATATATGTGTATGTGTGTATAATTTTTTTATATATATATACACACTTACACACACAAATACACTCACCGGCCACTTTATTAGGTACCCCATGCTAGTAACGGGTTGGACCCCCTTTTGCCTTCAGAACTGCCTCAATTCTTCGTGGCATAGATTCAACAAGGTGCTGGAAGCATTCCTCAGGGAGTTTGGTCCATATTGACATGATGGCATCACACAGTTGCCGCAGATTTGTCGGCTGCACATCCATGATGCGAATCTCCCGTTCCACCACATCCCAAAGATGCTCTATTGGGTTGAGATCTGGTGACTGTGGAGGCCATTTTAGTACAGTGAACTCATTGTCATGTTCAAGAAACCAATTTGAAATGATTAGAGCTTTGTGACATGGTGGAAGTAGCCATCAGAGGATGGGTACATGGTGGCCATAAAGGGATGGACATGGTCAGAAACAATGCTCAGGTAGGCCGTGGCATTTAAACAATGCCCAATTGGCACTAAGGGGCCTAAAGTGTGCCAGGAAAACATCCCCCACACCATTACACCACCACCACCAGCCTGCACAGTGGTAACAAGGCATGATGGTTCCATGTTCTCATTCTGTTTACGCCAAATTCTGACTCTAACATCTGAATGTCTCAACAGAAATCGAGACTCATCAGACCAGGCAACATTTTTCCAGTCTTCAACTGTTCAATTTTGGTGAGCTCTTGCAAATTGTAGCCTCTTTTTCCTATTTGTAGTGGAGATGAGTGGTACCCGGTGGAGTCTTCTGCTGTTGTAGCCCATCCGCCTCAAGGTTGTGCGTGTTGTGGCTTCACAAATGCTTTGCTGCATACCTCGGTTGTAACGAGTGGTTATTTCAGTCACTGTTGCCCTTCTATCAGCTCGAACCAGTCTGGCCATTCTCCTCTGACCTCTGGCATCAACAAGGCATTTCCGCCCACAGAACTGCCGCTCACTGGATGTTTTTTCTTTTTCGGACCATTCTCTGTAAACCCTAGAGATGGTTGTGTGTGAAAATCCCAGTAGATTAGCAGTTTCTGAAATACTCAGACCAGCCCTTCTGGCACCAACAATCATGCCACGTTCAAAGTCACTCAAATCACCTTTCTTCCCCATACTGATGCTCGGTTTGAACTGCAGGAGATTGTCTTGACCATGTCTACATGCCTAAATGCACTGAGTTGCCACCATGTGATTGGCTGCTTAGAAATTAAGTGTTAACGAGCAGTTGGACAGGTGTACCTAATAAAGTGGCCGGTGAGTGTATATTTATATAAGAATATATATATTTACAAACTTTAATGTTAGATGCAATTAAATCGTGATTAATTATTTATTTTTCGATATTAGTTAAAAAAACAAAAGTGTATTTTTGATTGGAGATGTCTCGATTGGAATACATAATTTGCCGTTTTCAGAGAGTTCAATTAAATGTTCATATTTACATTTTGATTGCATTTGAAGAGAGAACTTGGGTGAACTACCCTGACGATGTAGTGAAAAATTACCAAAAACGATCAAAAGAAAAAATTAATGTGTAACTTGGGAGTTTCACCTTTAGTGGATTCCAGAATAATAGTGATTATTTATAAGCAATAGACTAATACAACGCTTCCCTACCTGTTCCTTGGCTTTGGACACCCAGGTCTGAGACAGGAGCTGCAGTCTGGACTTGTGATACTTCCTGGTGGTCTTAACGGCAATAAAAATGTCTCTCAAATCCAATGAGTCTTTGGAACGTGACCCAGGGGAGTTAGCGTGTGCAGTGTCCCCCTCTAACATCGTCTGTGGGTCCCAGAGTCGGCCTCCGGGAGGAAGTGGGTGAATGAAACTACCATCCTTGGCATCACGACTTCCTTGGCCAGGGTTCCCGTAGAGGTCGTGTCTGCGTCCGGCTCTGGGGGGCTTGGCAGGGGGTCGCGGTTGGGGCAGATCCGCCTGACGCTGTGCAGGTTGTAAGGAGGGAATAAGGAGCACCAGTAGGGCACAAAATGCCAGGGAAAGCAGGAAGCAGATTTTGTTGGTGCCGACATGGGATAAGTGCATTCTTCCTGTACTCAACGCCAGCTCAACCGCCCGCGCATGCCTGACTCGCCACAGCAGCACCCATCTTCACTGCATCACTGCGGACCCTACGTGATCAAAACCACATGTACATATAATTACATTTTCATTATCTTAAATTAAATATCTCAATAAATTAAGACAATTCATTTTCTTAAATTAATAAATCATTCTCTAAACATGAAAATTACCAAATAGGGATGGGAATCACCAGTGGCCCCACGATACAATATCACGATTCCTAAGATATGATATTATCGCGATTCCTAAGCCACGATATTTTTACAATTCCTAAGCCATAATCCGATATCATCACGATTCCTAAGCCACAATACGATATTATCACGATTCCTAAGATATGATATTATCGCGATTCCTAAGCCACGATATTTTTACAATTCCTAAGCCACAATACGATATTATCACGATTCCTAATCCACAATACGATATTATCACGATTCCTAAGCCACAATACGATATTATCACGATTCCTAATCCACAATACGATATTATCACGATTCCTAAGCCACAATACGATATTATCACGATTCCTAAGATACAATACAATTTTATCATGATTCATAGGCCACGATACGATATTATCACGATTCCTAAGATACAATACGATTTTATCATGATTCCTAAGATACAATACGATTTTATCACGATTCATAGGCCACGATATTATCACGATTCCTAAGATACAATACAATTTTATCACGATTCATAGGCCACGATATTATCACGATTCCTAAACCACAATACGATATTATCACGATTCCTAAAATACAATACGATATTATCACGATTCCTAAGATACAATACGATATTATCACGATTCCTAAGATACAATACAATTTGATCACGATTCATAGGCCACGATATTATCACGATTCCTAAACCACAATACGATATTATCACGATTCCTAAACCACAATACGATATTATCACGATTCCTAAGATACAATACGATATTATCACGATTCCTAAAATACAATACGATATTATCACGATTCCTAAGATACAATACGATATTATCACGATTCCTAAAATACAATACGATATTATCACGATTCCTAAGATACAATACGATATTATCACGATTCATAGGCCACGATATTATCACGATTCCTAAGATACAATACGATTTTATCATGATTCCTAAGATACAATAAGATTTTATCATGATTCCTAAGATACAATACAATTTGATCACGATTCATAGGCCACGATACGATATTATCACGATTCCTAAAATACAATACGATTTTATCATGATTCCTAAGATACAATACGATATTATCACGATTCCTAAGATACAATACAATTTGATCACGATTCCTAAGATACAATACGATATTATCACGATTCCTAAGATACAATACGATATTATCACGATTCCTAAGCCACAATACGATATTATCACGATTCCTAAAATACAATACGATTTTATCATGATTCCTAAGATACAATAAGATTTTATCATGATTCCTAAGATACAATACAATTTGATCACGATTCATAGGCCACGATACGATATTATCACGATTCCTAAAATACAATACGATTTTATCATGATTCCTAAGATACAATACGATATTATCACGATTCCTAAGATACAATACAATTTGATCACGATTCCTAAGATACAATACGATATTATCACGATTCCTAAGATACAATACGATATTATCACGATTCCTAAGATACAATACGATATTATCACGATTCCTAAGATACAATACGATATTATCACGATTCCTAAGCCACAATACGATTTTATCACGATTCATAGGCCACGATTTTATCATAATTCCTAAGATACAATACGATTTTATCACGATTCATAGGCCACGATATTATCACGATTCCTAAGATACAATACGATTTTATCACGATTCATAGGCCACGATATTATCACGATTCCTAAGATACAATACGATTTTATCACGATTCATAGGCCACGATATTATCACGATTCCTAAGATACAATACGATTTTATCATGATTCCTAAGATACAATAAGATTTTATCATGATTCCTAAGATACAATACAATTTGATCACGATTCATAGGCCACGATACGATATTATCACGATTCCTAAAATACAATACGATTTTATCATGATTCCTAAGATACAATACGATATTATCACGATTCCTAAGATACAATACAATTTGATCACGATTCCTAAGATACAATACGATATTATCACGATTCCTAAGATACAATACGATATTATCACGATTCCTAAGATACAATACGATATTATCACGATTCATAGGCCACGATATTATCACGATTCCTAAGATACAATACGATTTTATCATGATTCCTAAGATACAATAAGATTTTATCATGATTCCTAAGATACAATACAATTTGATCACGATTCATAGGCCACGATACGATATTATCACGATTCCTAAAATACAATACGATTTTATCATGATTCCTAAGATACAATACGATATTATCACGATTCCTAAGATACAATACAATTTGATCACGATTCCTAAGATACAATACGATATTATCACGATTCCTAAGATACAATACGATATTATCACGATTCCTAAGCCACAATACGATATTATCACGATTCCTAAAATACAATACGATTTTATCATGATTCCTAAGATACAATAAGATTTTATCATGATTCCTAAGATACAATACAATTTGATCACGATTCATAGGCCACGATACGATATTATCACGATACCTAAAATACAATACGATTTTATCATGATTCCTAAGATACAATACGATATTATCACGATTCCTAAGATACAATACAATTTTATCACGATTCATAGGCCACGATTTTATCATAATTCCTAAGATACAATACGATTTTATCACGATTCATAGGCCACGATATTATCACGATTCCTAAGATACAATACGATTTTATCACGATTCATAGGCCACGATATTATCACGATTCCTAAGATACAATACGATTTTATCACGATTCATAGGCCACGATATTATCACGATTCCTAAGATACAATACGATTTTATCACGATTCATAGGCCACGATATTATCACGATTCCTAAGATACAATACGATTTTATCATGATTCATAGGCCACGATATTATCACGATTCCTAAGATACAATACGATATTATCACGATTCCTAAGATACAATACAATTTGATCACGATTCCTAAGATACAATACGATATTATCACGATTCCTAAGATACAATACGATATTATCACGATTCCTAAGATACAATACGATATTATCACGATTCCTAAGCCACAATACGATTTTATCAAGATTCATAGGCCACGATTTTATCATAATTCCTAAGATACAATACGATTTTATCACGATTCATAGGCCACGATATTATCACGATTCCTAAGATACAATACGATTTTATCACGATTCATAGGCCACGATATTATCACGATTCCTAAGATACAATACGATTTTATCACGATTCATAGGCCACGATATTATCACGATTCCTAAGATACAATACGATTTTATCATGATTCCTAAGATACAATAAGATTTTATCATGATTCCTAAGATACAATACAATTTGATCACGATTCATAGGCCACGATACGATATTATCACGATTCCTAAAATACAATACGATTTTATCATGATTCCTAAGATACAATACGATATTATCACGATTCCTAAGATACAATACAATTTGATCACGATTCCTAAGATACAATACAATATTATCACGATTCCTAAGATACAATACGATATTATCACGATTCCTAAGATACAATACGATATTATCACGATTCATAGGCCACGATATTATCACGATTCCTAAGATACAATACGATTTTATCATGATTCCTAAGATACAATAAGATTTTATCATGATTCCTAAGATACAATACAATTTGATCACGATTCATAGGCCACGATACGATATTATCACGATTCCTAAAATACAATACGATTTTATCATGATTCCTAAGATACAATACGATATTATCACGATTCCTAAGATACAATACAATTTGATCACGATTCCTAAGATACAATACGATATTATCACGATTCCTAAGATACAATACGATATTATCACGATTCCTAAGCCACAATACGATATTATCACGATTCCTAAAATACAATACGATTTTATCATGATTCCTAAGATACAATAAGGTTTTATCACGATTCCTAAGCCACAATACGATATTATCACGATTCCTAAGATACAATACGATATTATCACGATTCCTAAGCCACAATACGATATTATCACGATTCCTAAGATACAATACGATATTATCACGATTCCTAAGCCACAATACGATATTATCACGATTCCTAAGTCACGACACAATATTATCACGATTCCTAAAATATGATATTATCACGATTCCTAAACCACAATATTATCAGAATTTCCTAAGCCGTAATCCGATATTATCACGATTCCTAAAATACAATACAATATCATCACGATTCCTAAGCCACGATATGAAATTATCATGATTTTTAAGCCACGATATTAAATGTAGTTAATTATGTGCAGAATCATTTTAATGTTTTAGGAAGATGCATAAATTTGCCATTAAAAGTGTACAACTTGCATGCTAGATGGCACTACTGGCTTATTTTAGTTGTGAAACAGTCTAAACAATAACACAAAGAGAATGAGAGAGAAAGAGAGAGATGCAGTAGTGCTGATTTACAGTCTGAAAGAAATTTCAAATTGTTATTATTTAATATTAAATGCGCAGAGCTTACATTAATTTCGTCAATATTCGCAATCCCGAGCCAAAATTCAGATTGATACCTGCCATCCGTGTTTCGATACAATATTTCCACACAAAATATTGTGTTGTTACTGTGTCATTATAAAACTGTTGCTGTGTTGATTTTTTGCCCCAGCCCTATTATCAAAATCTCCAAATCTTGCAGGCTCTTTAAATGTTCAAACAAGGTTTCTTTTCTTTTATTCCCCCCAAAGCACATTGTGCAATCCAATGAAAGCATATGCATTGAGTTTCATTTTGGCACTGGCAAGCATCTGTCAACCCTAATAACAGCCTAAGCCATCAATGCAAGCCATTTCCTGTCTTCTATTTTCAGAGTTGAACTGATACCTCAAGCAGTCACAGATGTGGAAGCTGAAGGCTGCAGTGTTGGCATGAAATCATATTCATACTCAGTCAAGACCCGTTGAAAACTATCCTAAATGTGACAACTGCTTCCTCAATGCCAACAGAAACAATGCTTAAAGTTGTTCCTATTATGGTTTAATGCAGTGTGTAATATAGCTGTTTGTGAATGTAAACATTAGGTGTGTAACGATACCCTCATGTCACGATTCGATACATATCACGATACTGAACTCAAGATACGATATTATTGCGATACTCCAAGACATATGATAAAAGGTTAACAAAAAATTTACTGTTGATTAAAATGCTAACTTTGATATTACATTGTGGGTTTAAATTAATAGGTTTGGACTCTGTGCTTGTAACCCAAGGACAATGGTGACACCAGAATAAAAATTTTCATGATTCTGAAGCTGAAAATACAGAATTATTTTAGACGAATATGCTTGCACTCTGTCACTGACTAGATATATTTAAAATAATGTAGGACACTTTTTACTGGTAACTTAAGACATTTGGCATTATCAGGAGGACCAACAAATATTCCCCCATTGCATTATTATACATTATAATCAACATTATGTATAGTAGTTTAATGTAGTACTGACACTAAAACTCTGAAAAAATGTAATTTTTTTCTCACACAGTAATTTTTATTTTGGGGGAATGATCCACCATACATATTGTCACTATCCACGATACGTATTGTTGCATTTTTGTATTGTGATATATTGTGGCACGATATATTGTTACACCCCTAGTAAACATTGTCTCCCAAAAGAAAGAATCGATTCTGAATCGCCTATACGAGTCATTTTTTAATTCGAATCCCACTGCGTGACGGTTCTACGTCACTAGAAGATACATTTGCATAATGCCCACCCACGCCTGCGAACAACTTGACCCGCCCTCAAACGTCATTTTACTGACGACTGCTTCTCAAATCTCAGAGGTCAACACGGGATTCACAAAACGCTTCCTCTTCAAAGATGGGTACACAGTACACAGTATTTGGACCAGCTTGTTCCTCAGAATCACAACCTGTAAGTATGAATAATTATTGATGTAAATATTTTCTACATAAGGGTTAAAGGATTAGTTCACTTTAAAAAAAACTTTTGCTGATAATTTACTCACCCCCATGTCATCCAAGATGTCCATGTCTTTCTTTCTTCAGTCGAAAAGAAATTAATGTTTTTGATGAAAACATTCCAGGATTTTTCTCCATATAATGCACTTTGCTGGGCACCAAACGGTTCAAGGTCTAAATGACCGTTTCAGTGCAGCTTCAACGGGATTTAAACGATACCAGACGATGAATAAGGGTCTTATCTAGAGAAACGATCGGTCATTTCAAAAATAAATAAAAAAGTTAAAGTTTTATAGGCACAAATGCTCGCCTTGCGAACTCTCCTGTTCGAACTCGTTCATCAAAATGAACGAGTCAATGACTCGAAAAAAGATTCGTTCATTTTGATGAACGAGTCCATGACTCGAAAAAAGATTCGTTCATTTTGATGAACGAGTCCATGACTCGAAAAAAGATTCGTTCATTTTGATGAACGAGTTCGAACAGGAGAGTTCGCAAGGTGAGCATTTGTGCCTATAAAACTTTAACTTTTTTATTTATTTTTGAAATGACCGATCGTTTCTCTAGATAAGACCCTTATTCATCGTCTGGTATCGTTTAAAGCCCTTTGAAGCTGCACTGAAACGGTCATTTAGACCTTGAACCGTTTGGCTACAATTGAAGTCCATTATATGGAGAAAAATCCTGGAATGTTTTCATCAAAAACATTAATTTCTTTTCGACTGAAGAAAGAAAGACATGGACATCTTGGATGACATGGGGGTGAGTAAATTATCAGCAAAAGTTTTTTAAAAAGTGAACTAATCCTTTAATGCCCGACGAGGTGTCCATTGTCAGGTATTACTGGACGACGGCGAGGCTTGCGTGGCGGACGGTTGCCTCCACCGAAGTCCATTAATACCAAAGTCCAAATAGTCTCTGTTAATACCTAGACAATGAACACCTCGAAGGGCATTAACCCGCTTATACCATGGTCACTTGCCAAATAACACATTTTTAAAACATTAGTTTATATTTTAATTAGTTTTACAATCAGAATCTAAAGTTTTTACAAACAATAACTTGGTTTCCCTGGTTACGCCTGACGGTTTATTTAGCAACCGGAGATATTTATAGTCCGCTCATAACGGCTAACTAGATGTTAGTTTTGATACGATAAATTGTAAACGGATACTTTGACTGCCTGTTGCTATGGTTACTCGGATACTTTGACTGCCTGTTGCTATGGTTACTCACAGCTGATGTAGCCAGTGCATTTATTTATTAATTTCGAACGGTAAACAGTCAGTTTCACCAGAACTCCTTTACTAGGTGTCCTCTATCACTTTTTAATGGACACCCTGCAGCCAATCAGAATCGAGTATTCACCCAGACCATGGTATAACCATGGGTGTTAAAAATACTTTGTTTTGTGTTTTATATTGTGTAAGTTTCCGGCTAGCCAGCTAACTCACCTTATTACTGTCTGTCTTATACTTGAAATACTTCTGCTAATCAGCTGTGGGCCATTATTACCTAAAATGTGTTAATGCAGATTGTCTGTCGTTCTCACTACTTTGAGTAAAGATAAAGTGCTGGGCGGACGCATGCGCTGTTAAGTTCCCGTATGCATGTGCACTGCAATAAATTAGAAATATACACATTGGTTTGTAGGACTGAGGAAGCCTCCTGACGCAGCTGAAGTTCACTTATGGTAATGGCATTACCTTCCGAAACACGCACTGTACGCGGTAGACCAATCACAATAGACTCGGTCATCTGGCCAATCAGAGCAGAGCAGACTCGAGGAAAGGAGGGATTTAGAGAGACTGACTCATCCGTCGAGTCGTTGGATTGGACCGCTGCAGATTCATTTCCGCATTGATAGTGTTGACAAAGAAACGCATCAGGATGTGAAGAGAGTTTCAAGCAGTATAACAAAAAGTGTTTATAAAACAAATTGCCTTCCCTACCTTTAAAAACAATGCCCACATGTATAATATATTTCATTTCCTTTTATATAATTCTGGCCCTCTAATTTGATTAAGCACTGATTTCAGAGTCCAGCAGAGACGCCGCTTGTCTGAGTTTGCACTTTCCAGACCAGAGTGTGTGTGTGTCTAAGGCTGATTTCACTGCCGATACACTGTATCCTGAATAGAATTAAATCATGTTTTCATTCTTTTTGCATCATTTGACAAAACTACTGCTTGAATGGAAAATGCTTTTGAAGAAACTTTTTACGGCCAAAAATAGTTTGTTGTGGTAAATATGATGCACCAACTGAGAAACAGTCATAACCGAAATAAAAAGGAAAACTAAATCACGCGAAAAATCCTGAAATGGTTTGTGATGATTGGGTTTATTTTGTTTTATTTGTTTACATATGCAGCTCTTACATTATTAGTCTTACTCATGGTTAATGTTGTAAGTTATGGTTAAAGTTAAATTCTTTATGAATCTGAATTTTAAATTATATTAAGGGCTATTATTAGTTAGTCATATTGTGGGTTTATTCATTTTTAACCATTACCCTACTGAACTGACAAAGTGTGTAAAACAGCCTGCTGTATAAACGTTAAAAAAAAAATACTTTTGAGGACATTTTATTAGATGCAAAATTGTTCGTTCATTGTATTGAATACGATGCCACAATTGAGACAGCTTTAATTAAAAGGGGAAAAAAGAGATATGAATCATTTTGCCAGAATAAATATTAAAATGGTTTAAAATGTTTACTTTTTGTTTAGATTATGAAGTTTTAAAGATGTAATATTTAATATATTTGTAATTAATTTCCATTTTATTATCACGGAAATGTGTCTGGGACAAGAGTAAAACAATGTAAATATGATTGCATACAAAAAGTGGACATTTATAGAACAAAAAGAAAAAAGTTTAAATCAGTTTTAATAAATAATCAACAATTAGGACATACAAGATGAGGAACAGTGACCGACACTGAATGATTATTACTATATATCCAATATTAAAACTAAAAATGATGTCCAACAAACAATAGTGCACTGCCATAGTAACTTACCACGTCCAAAAATCATACTATTACCACGGTATTTAATGTTAGTTTAAAAGTTATTTTAGGCAGCGACCTGCACTAAAGGTTTCATTTAACTTTCACAGTTTCGAGGCATTTTTCTGTACTGAACTGAAAGTTCACACAAACCGCACAGAGGTTAGATAAAGGCATTAGTAAACCATTAGTAAACAAAAGCGAGTTTCATTTCACCCCGTCGGACAGGAATTATTGACTGAATGAAAAGTGAATGAAATGAAAAGTCTCTTACCGAGAGCGACCAGACGGGTTCACGCGAGCGCCATCCTCGCGACTTTTAAACGAATAAACCCGTCAGATCAGTAAAGATCAGACCAGATCAATGCCACACCAGAGCAAGGCGAAAGCGACAGCACTACTGGCGATCTATGTTCGTCCTCGTCGAGTAAAGTCAGCATGAATCATCCAGATTCAGATCCTTATTGTTCCTGCTTTGACTTCTTCGCTTCGCTTGATGCTTCTCGAACTTATCTGATCATTTATTAATACAAAGTTGCTCCCATCGTGCGCCTCTAGCTCTCTCCTGCTCAGCTGTGTGTGAATCACTGCTGGTGTGTGTGTGTGTTGGGTTGTTTCTTTCTAATGACCCATGTGACTCACTGTGCGTTGCCAAACATTACTAACAACTACATTGTCCTTTCTGTAGATGTCTCGATGCCAAAGGCTTTGAAAACCACCAGCGCCCTCTGGCGGATGTGACGTGATCACAATCACGCCGTCACAGTTGCGTGCTGATGGTGTCACATCAGCTGGGATAGTTTATATACAATAAAAAAAATAAGGTTTACTTCTGATGATTTGTGTAATGTAAATTGCTCATTCTGTGGTCTCCGCAGTCCGAACTAAAGATTTGTCTCATTTACGTTGGTACCCAGGCCTACTACACTGTAAACTCTAATGCTCAAAATAATTAATTGGTTTGAGTAGGACAAACTTAAATTAAACAAATTAGTTCAGTCAAATTAACTTTTATGAGTATTTAGCACTTTCTTTTTCTTTCAAGTTCACTGAACTGATATATTTTAAGTAAACTGAACTGTTTCATTGTTTTGAGTTTTATGAAATTATTTATTTTAATTTAGACGAACTTAAGTTTAACTGAAACAGCTGGGATGTCTATTTCCCAGCATGCTTTGCCGATGGCACTCGAAAGGGAGAGTAAATGCTAAAATTAAGTGTAATATAATGTTTTTTTGTGTGTAAGATTAATGTTATGTGTGAGATTTAGTAGTGATTCATGTTTTGTTATGCTAATTTAGAAGAATTTCTGTTAATGTTGGCTTTAGGATAGTTACCATCATGGTGACAAGTGGTGCATACAGCTTGATTTGAGAGCAAATAATCCATTTTATTGCTGTGCTCATTCAGCAAGTGTTTCTGTATAACATACTATTGCTAATATGTTAGCATTTATTATGTTAGCAGATTAGCTTTTTAGAGCTAACGAAGTATATACTAATAAAAGTATTTTGAGTTCTGCCAACTTATTTGGGTTTACAGTGTACTTCATAGATTTAAGTTATATTAACTGAATGGAATTAGTATTATTAACTTTATTTACCCAAGTTATCTTAACAATAAGTTATTGAGTTACTTGAACACAAATCAAATATTTTTTTAAGCTTAAATTGTTTGAGTTAATAAACTTAAATGATTTAAGGCAATCGGTTTCCTCAAACGGTTTGAGTTGAACTAACTCATCAGGTTTTACAGTGTAAGAATCTCTGGAAAAACATTTGTTTTCTGATTTCTCAATTTGTTAGTTAGGCAATATGTTCTGGTTTTACACATTATGAGAGAGAAGAGGCAGATGTTTTTATTTATTTAGATCTATCTTTCTTACACAAGTGTAAGTTTAGAAAGAGTAACCTGTATCTGATTTCGGATTCTTCTAATAATAAAAGTGTAAATCTTATTATTTTCTTGCTCCCTTGCATATAATTCTGTTATTCTGCATGTCTTTATTGTTTTATATTAATAATAAAAAACTTTAACCAGTTATCTATTATTTATTTATTTAATTATTATTTTACATAACAGCTTTCTTTCTTACCTTAGGTTACAGTAATATTTTTACTTTTGGCTCATGTTTTTATGTTTAATTATAATTTTATATAAATTATATTACTATTAGGTTTTTAAAAAAAAACTTATGTCATTAGAATCAGGTGGATTTACTATTAATTATTGTAACTGATGCATTATGACTGTACTGGAATGAACATAAAACGACATTGCTTTTAAAACAGCCTGCATCTGCATAAAGATGTAAAAAGTCTAATCTAATAAAGTCTATGTGCAGGTATAGCTAAGGTGTATTTTTTTTATTATTTTTTTTTATTGAAGGTATCTGCTGTTTTTTACGCAGACACTGAAAGATGTCTGCTGCTCTCATGTGTCTGTGAGAGTAAACACAAGCAGCAGTGAACTACACTGTCCCTGATCATACTGTAGCAGACTAGAATAAAAAATAAAATAAAATGCAAAATCACTCTATCCCTGATCATACTGTAGCAGACTAGAATAAATAATTAAATAAAATGAAAAATCACTCTATCCCTGATCATACTGTAGCAGACTAGAATAAAAAATAAAAATAAAATAAAATGAAAAATCACTCTATCCCTGATCATACTGTAGCAGACTAGAATAAAAAATAAAAATAAAATAAAATGAAAAATCACTCTATCCCTGATCATACTGTAGCAGACTAGAATAAAAAATAAAATAAAATGCAAAATCACTCTATCCCTGATCATACTGTAGCAGACTAGATTAAATAATTAAATAAAATGAAAAATCACTCTATCCCTGATCATACTGTAGCAGACTAGAATAAAAAATAAAAATAAAATAAAATGCAAAATCACTCTATCCCTGATCATACTGTAGCAGACTATAATAAAAAATAAAAATAAAAAATAAAATGCAAAATCACTCTATCCCTGATCATACTGTAGCAGACTAAAATAAAAATAAAAACAAATTAAATGAAAAATCACTTTATCCCTGATCATACTGTAGCAGACTAGAATAAAAAAATAAACAATATTTTTCTTTAAATAATAAAATGAAAAATCACTTTATCCTTGAATGTAGCCCCAGAGAATAGCATAAATAAAATAAAAATCACCCTATCCCCACTCAAATAGCCCTTGTGTTAAAAAAAAATAAAGAAAAAAAAATACAATAAAAGTAAAGAAAAAAGAAAAGAAAAAGAAAAGAAATCACTCTATCGCTAATCATACTGTAGTTCTGGAAAACAAAACAAAACAAAGAAACATTTGGCTAATTAGACAATTTTCTTCAGGAGAATGTCACTGGTTTCTTCAGCAGGTTTATCTGATCTCGTGTGTGAGTGTGACATCTGGTGGAATAACTGAGATGATAATATCTTCATCAGATTCCTCAGACTGGGATTTCTCCCTATTATTTATTATCCTTTATTTAACCAGGTGAAAACTCATTGAGATTAAAAATCTTTTTACAAGAGAGACCTGGTCAAGATGCTGCAAAAAACATAAAGGACAAATTTCAACATATATAAAAACAAATAAAAACACATCAAATACACATACATATACCACAAAGACCCTGAAAAAATAATGAATAGAATTTTATAAACAATTACACTGACCATTGTTTACCTGCTCCATATTCTTCAGAGTTGAAACAAACTGTCTATAAGAAATAAAAGTAATCATTTTTAACGATTTCTGAAGAAGGTTCCAGGCAGAAGGTGCTGCAAACATAAAGGCTTTTTTTGGCTAATTCTGTTTTGACACCGGGGACCAACAAGTGTAATACATCATTTGAACGTAATCCATGATAATGGCCGTGATTTCTTGTTAAAAGGACACTCAAATAGGTAGGAGCAGTCCAAGAAGTACTTTGTAAATGAAACATAGCCAGTGAGTGTACCTTCTTGCATAAAGAGAGGGCCATTTAGCTGTATAATAAAGGATACAATGATGTGTCCTATAACCACAACCAGTGAAAAAACGTAATGCACAATGATACACAACATCCAGTTTCTTCAAACTTTGGGCAGAAGCATTCATATATATCAGATTACCATAGTCTAATATGGGAAGAAACGAAAAGTGGCCATCACCAGATATTTTCTTGCGCGGATGGATAAGCATGATTTTGATCTGTAAAGATAGCCAAGCTTTATCTTAAGCTTAGAAACCAGATTGCTAACATGATTTCTAAACCATAATTTAGAATCAATGACCTATGCAAACCTACTGTACAAATACTGTATTTTCAAATGTAATTTCCATTAGCTGTTATAACAAACACACACTCAGAACACAACGGGAAGAGACGGCTTGACGTGAAGGATATAAATAGCCCTGCCTGTATTTAGGATGGGTGTGTTTTCTGCTCTCTTCAGCGAGTGCTCCTGTCAATCAAGAAGCCAAACAAGATGGCAGACACAGGGCACTGGGCTTTGGCATTCACAGGCAAGTTCATTCTCTTTCTCTTGAACTCTTTAAACATTGAAAGAGCCCCTTCTGAGAGGTCTTTGACACATGACAAAACATACTAAACATATAGAAGTGAAAAAAACTCAAACTAACCATAAATGCTAGTAGTTTTATATGCCTATAAACGCACACTTCAAACAAGTGTTTTCATATTAAAATCTGCAAATGCTTCTGATACACTACTACACACTGTCAAAATATTTTGAACAACGGATTCTTTCAAACATTTTTAAAACATACTCATGTGCGTTCTTATTCTCTTTGGTTATTTTCTTTATTCTTCATATATTTACAGTTGTATTTAGGGTTCCCTGTTGGGTTGTTATTACTTTTGAATGTTTAAGAATTTTGGGTAACGCTTCCTTTTACAGTCCTGTTACCCATGTATACATACTATGTACTTATTATAGTAATTACAATAACTGGGTAATAACTAGGTACTAACCCTGAACCTACCCCTAACCCATGTACTTATATTAGCCAGTACTTTCTAGGTAAGTAGGCCTACACTGTAAGTACTGTACTGTAAAGGGAAGCGTTACGGAATTGGATATTTATTTTACATAATCTGTAGTACTTGTATAGTCCTGTGTATATTTCGAAGCATATTTTGTCTCAAATATTTGTTATGTTATTCACTCCTCAGTGTAACTCACCTGTTTATTATCATTTTTATTTATATTTTATTTGTATTATTATTATTTTTCAAAATGTCACTGTTATATAGATTTTTACTTACTGTTGTTGTAATAGCTGATTGTTTGTCTGTCATTTTGTATGTTAAAACGATATCAAAACAACAATAAAAATTTGATTAAAAAAAAAACAAAAAAACATACTCATGTGCATAATGACTCATATCACAGTAAGTTGTGTGTGTAAATGTCCTGTCCTCAGTCTGCGCAGCCGGTCTGCTGGCGGTCCGGTCAGACATCATCACCGAGGCTCCGGCGGGACAGCTGTTTGTCTATGAGTTACACCGAGAGCTTTTCCAGAGTGAATTTGAGCCTTTTCATAAAGTCTTCGGTATGTTGGAG